TTCATTTTTAATTACGCTTTTTCAGCAGCTCACACTAAATAACGTCGAATGAGATGACAGAAAGCGGTCGTGACCTAACTTGGGGTATTATCCCACCATCTTCCTGGAGTGACTGAGGAAAACCACAGTCAGGATAGCCGGTCTCCGGACCGAGATTTGAACCCGGGGCCTCCTGAATACGAAACAGGAGTGTCAACCACTCGATAACGAAGATCGGTACTTTAAATGAACCACAAATCGAATTTCTTTAATTTTTAAAGAAAAGTTTCTTGCAAGACATTTTCCGATATTTACACTGTTTTTCGTGGTTTTCCTCACTTATACCAAGCAAGTTCAGGGACAGTACCTCAAATTCGGAGACAACCTTTCGCATCCATTCCAAATCATTAATCACTAATCACCCTGTAATTCAGCGCCACATAATCTAAGCAACTAAAAGCGTTGTTAAATAAACCATAAATAAATTAAATAAAAGTTAGATTTTGATCATACACTTAATGAAGTATAACAAAATACAATTCGCAATATTATTCGTTTTAATGTCTGTAGAGTGATTAGCTTCACAATAATAAATTTGTTTCAGCAACAAATTAGCATCAAGATCAATTGAACGTTCCGACAGCAGACGTATCGTGATTAATTAATCCTTCATCAAAGACTCCCTGCCGCTTGTCTTAATAGGATCCAAGCATTTTAAAATCATTTGCAATTGACGGTACCTGAATCGGATCGTTGCACGAAGAAGATACGGAAGAAATGGCTAAACTGTTTTGTCTGCGATGCTATCTCGTTGAATGTTCGAAAGTAACTGTAATCTCTTCCTAATTTGGCCACAGCCAAACTGTACAGAGTCGCCAGTAGCATGCAATTACCAACCCGAACCGGGAAAATAAGACTCGTTGTTCTCTATTCAATTGAAATGAGACGTCATCAGTTCTGAGAAGCCGTTATTGCGATTTGATTAAGCGGTAAAAGAAGCTTTGCCTTCAACAGACAATTGTCATCAGAACTCCCTACTTCTAACGTAGAAATGGGATCCAAACAAACTGCAGATGTTTATTCACGTGGCATTTACGCACTGAACTGTAAAAGCTAATATTCTGAGTAAATGAATGAATATGTGACACACTTCGTACACTGCCATCTTCAGGACAGTAATACTTGCATGCGGATGTGTGTCACTGGTAACGAAAGAAATAATTCTGTACTACTCTTTGAATTGGAGACACGTTATGTCTTCTTTGAGGTAGGAGCGAAACTTAATACTTCCATCTCCAGTCTGTTAAGAGCAAAATACACTCAGGGTACGTATGAATGAATTCAGTTCGACATCCCTTTCCAGACATTCCAAATGTGCTCTTACCGCCACATCACGTTGGTCACTGCTGTACCAACATGGTCTGAGGTCACTTTTGCACCTGAGGTCATTCTAAGTTATCCAAAAGCACTATTGTGTCTTGGGCCATTTTTGCACTAAAGCGATCCAAGATGATTGTTGCGCAACGTTTTCCAACGATGATCCCCGGCCATGCAGGTTGCCTACACCGTACGAAAAACACGACAGACAGACACAGACGGGCCCACAAAGTGTTCCCCGCTCACGACAGAACGTGAAGAACATAAACTAACTCCATGGGACAGTCCTTGAGAAACTTCGGCAGTCAAGGACCCCCCCCCCCCCCCCCTCTGGAATCAAAAAGTTCATTGCCGTATTCATAACAGTCCGCCACTGGGCTCTATACTCGGGCAGATGAATCCAATCCACACTCTCAGCACCTATAGGTTTGAGATCGTTTTAAATATTATCCTTTCATCAATGTCCAGTCTTCCAACTGTTCTCTTCTCTTCAGGCATATATCAAAGTTTCTGTATGAATTTCACTCCTCTCCATGCGTGCTACATGCCCAGTCCAACTTGTCCTTAGTTTGATCATCCTAATAATATCTGGTGAATAGTACGTACGATGATCAATCCTATATGGCAATTATTGTCTTTAAAGTACTGATGTTAGTATATGCGTTAGAACGGGTGCAAAGGAAAGCATGTAAATTTGCATATCACAGGAGCGATTCGAACTGGGAAACCCTGGCACAGCGTAGAAAGATAGCACGAATATGTGCTCTCTTCAAGGCGTACACGGGAGATCGGGCATGGAAAGCTATAGGTGTCAGATTGCAAAGGCCATACTACCTGAGCAGAGTCGATCATATTCGGAAAGTTAGGAGCAGAAAACAAAGAACAGATATCGGAAAATATTCCTTTGTAAATAGGACCATCCAACTCTGGAACCAGCTACCTGCTGAGGTTTTAGGGACTCTCTCCTGTAAACCAAGTACGTTTAGGAAGAAGGTTAGGAAAGTGATAAATGAGGTGAAGTAAAGGGAATAGATGGGTGGGTGCAGTGAAGGGGGGTAAATTGGGGTGAGGATGGGAAGGCTTCATAAGTGTAGTGAAGTGAAGAGAAGGTCCTGATGAAACGTGTGATTCATTACTGTTACTGACTTATGTCTAGTTGGTATTAATTTTTAAGTTATGTACTTTAGGTTATACGGTTTTGTAATATTATGAGCTGTTTTATTTTGAGTGTGGTGTGTTGTTTTGTTGTGTCTTATTGTTCTTGTTGTGCCTTATGCTTTTTGTGTCTCATTGTTTTTGTTGTGTCATGTCTTTTTGTCTTACTGTATTGTTGTGTCTCATTGCTTTGTTGTGTCTTATTGTTCTTGTTGTGCCTTATGTTTTTTGTGCCTCATTGTTTTGTTGTCTTATTGTTTTGTTGTGTCTTATGTCTTTTTGTCTTACTGTTTTGTTGTGTCTCATTGTTCTGTTGTTTCTTATTGTTATTGTTTGTGTTGTCTTATGATTTTTGTGTCTTATTGTTTTGTTCTGTCTCATTGTTCTGTTGTTTCTTATTGTTTTTGTTGTCTTATGTTTTGTTGTGTCTTATTGTAGGACCACTGCCACCGGGTAAAAACCCATTTGCAGTCAAATAAATAATAATAATAAAAAAAAAATAATATTAAATTTAGTACTGATAATTATCAGCCCCAAAATTATAATTTTTGGGCTTTGTACCATCGATCTATATTATGTAAACAGTGATTGGGATTTGCCCACTCTAACAGATCCATCCAATCAGATTACCCTCACCTGAAGAGGAGAACAGATTCACCACCATAAACGTGGTGATGGTGTATTTCTCTAATAAATGACAATGAATAAAGTTCGAAAACTATTAACAATAACGTACTATGAGGCTTCCCATTACGCAGTTTTCTCGTCTCCTATGCCCCTGTTCCCTCCTCATTTCCAGGTTCAAACATTACCTTCTAACACCTTCAGTCCAATTTTTTCCCTTAAAAATGAAAACCGCATAAAAGAAGAATGTGACATACGTTATATGAATGTAAAACTTTTCCTGGGATTCTGCGGGTCGCCGATGAAAGACAATTAACAAATGGGTATTGAAGAGAATATTTGGACGAAAGAGAAACAAAGTAACGCCAGGATGGAGACAATGACATAATTTGAAACTTCACAATTTGCACTGTATACCTAAAACTATCGCCATTACGGAGAACTTTGGGTTTTTCCCGTATCCTAGCAACGGCTTGGGTTTCCCCGAGCGTGACAGGAATAGCATATTATACAATGCAGGATGGATGGATGGATTAACAGCGTGATAAATCAAGAAGAATGATAAGATTCACACACCAGCCTTATATTTTTAGAATTGAGACAGAAAGACGAAATATTCTGTTAGATTTGAGGTTTTCACAGCGGTGAGTATAAAGATTTCTGTCTTCTGGGTTGTTGCGCTGTGTAGTCTGGTAGATTTCCACCAACGTTTCAGAGGTCATACTGCCTTCGTCATCAGGGCGATTCATCGCAACAACCCAGAAGACAGAAATATTTATACAAAATATTCTGCCGAAGAACAACTGTTTGTTTTCCCCCAAGATGAAGTGGCCGGTCCTCTCACCTCCTTCTAATGTCGAGATTAAGAATGCGTGGCACTTTACCTCCACTTTTCCATACGTCTTCATGGTGTGGTGCTAATTAACCACAGATTTGCCCTTGATCTTAAGGTCAATGATCCTTCTCTAATGCGTCTTCAATTGATGGTATCTTACAATGTAAAAGGCATTACTTGAAATAGGTTTCATGTGTACCCGTTTCAATGACAGGTAGACAGTAACTCAGTAATTCTCGTTGCTGTACTACTGTCACATAAACTACGTCCTACAAAGAGAAACCCAGGCAATTTTCCAACAACAAACAGGTAAACTGGTCTCTGATTGGTCGATACAATTTATGGTGCCATACTCTACCTACACGGACAACAACAAGACTCTGAACCTGTCTTCTGTGTGGACTGTGCCGAAACTTGATTCCAAGGTGGCACTAATATCTTCCAATACAGAAGAACGATATGGCAGATCATGCTTTATTCGGTTCAGAAAACATTTTTTCTATCTGTTCCCTTTGCATATTCTTTATAGCCTAACTCTCGTTATATTAGATTATTTTAATTCCATACAACGATATTTCAAAATCCAGTGTGTAAAAGATGTGGCAGGAATACACTTTCGTCAAAATCGCGTTTACTTCTCTGCCCCAAACTGAAGTTCTATGTAAAACTTTATTAAATCTAGTAGTGCTCTATAACCTCGGATACAGTGTATGAAATCTATTAAGCCGCGCTAAATCAAACATAACAGCAACAAACAACATTAATAGCAATATATAATGTCATATGACTATGTGTGTGTGTCTGTTTTATGATTCGCTGATCAAGTTCTATGTAATTATGCTTGAAGGCAAAATGTTCTACTGTGTAAATGCTGCAACCTTTAGCCTATTTTTATAAATTCTTCTAAATGAGATATAGGCACTTACGAAACTCAAAAAGGAAATAAATGAGGTACGTGATGATGCGAAAAAATAACATTTCCCTTTGAATTTCAAAAGACATTGAAAATTAGAAATAATTATGACAATGATTCAATTCAATTCATTTATTAGAGTGCTTGGCAACAGCCAAAAGAGGCCACTAACAGCCAAGCACTAACATCATTAGCTGTCGCACAAGTAGACATGATTGCGAAGCAAATTAGAGTCATTATCATTTAGATATGAAATACAAATCCAGAAATAAAACATCCCAAACGCACGTACCTAACCACAAGTACAAGCCAGAAGTGACCCTAACACGAAAGTATTAAAAAGCCCGTATAATAGAAACGTCTGTATGACACAAAGAACATACATAGAAATACCAACAAAAGGTAACACAGCATACGAACCTACCCATAACAGAACACAATGAAGAAATGTGGCACTAGTTTACACAGTTCCAATACTTTTATCATAACAAAGAATTCCAAATACATGGAGCTAGCAAAGAACATCTACATCTTGCTTCAGAATCACACTCCATTATCCCCGAATGCTTAAATCACAACATCCACACAATAAAGATAACTGCATTTTACTTAAAACCAATTCAACAGATTTTCTACACAACTTTTATAAACATATTGACATGTAAATAATTGCTGCAAGACGTACAGTCCATCCTGACAACATTTATCCAACCAACACGTAATGTAAAACCAATACTACTAATAATAACAATAATAACAATGGCGACACATTACATTCCTACAGCTGGCGTGTAATACAAGCCAATAACAAAATTTAAACTGAAAATGTCTTCAAATGGATTTATCACCTTTATACATCAACTCCGAAAATAAAAATTAAGCATAATAAAATAAACATAAAAATATAATTTCTTCAACCCATCCTCAGGGAGAAACATAGATAGCATTACCTTTTAAAGTGGTTAGCTGTTCAAGTCCCAGCCCGGGAGCAGCATATAAGGCTTTCATGTCGTGTTTTTATATTTTAAAACGAAAAGGTTTTCGAACGATTTTATGAAAGACGGAAAGAGTTAATCTATAAATTATCAACAGTTATCCACATGCAATCTAGTGGCCACAACTGAAACTAGCTAGTGCACACAAATTTGAAATCTTTATAAACTGAAGTGCCACCTAGGATTAATACCTTAAGATGCAGAATAATAATTGTACAATCGCGTCAACAGATGGCAGAACAGTTAGCCATGGTGTGCTGCTATTAGGTATCTGCCATTGTGGTACAGATTATATTTTGTCGATCAATACATCTTCATCTGAAACATTTTAAAATATGGCTCATACTTTGTAACCTCTCTGGTGTTTAACAGTTTAACTGTGTTCTGCATTAAAAACATATTCTTTACACAGCATAACAACTACAACATTTTGTTTTGAATAAATGGGCATGACTGCTAATTAGGGAAGCAATTTACCATCGAACGCATTTGAAAGTTGTGTACTGCGAAGTTGTATGTAAAAAGGAAACATTATTTAACTTCACATAATCTTCTAGTAATAACAATTTCAGGCTTCTTTCTCCAGACACGAAAAACTAATGTTGAAATTTTGTGAGAAAGAAAGGTATAATGATGAATAGGACGGCAATTATCCGAACTGCATAGCTGAATATATGAAATACAGCATTTGTTTTCAGTTCTTTAAAAACATCCCTCGAAATTAAGTTACGATACGTTACTACTACATTCTGCATATACAACCGGACTATTTTTTAATTTTAAAATAATTAATTTTAATAACAAAAGATCTTCTGCAACGGTAATTAAAAATTAAGGATGTAAACTTCCAAGATGTTCAGTGTAAAATAATATTCTGAAGACCACAAAATCAACCGAAAAAAATCCCGTAATACAAGAAAACGTCGTGTCATCACTTTAAGCATGCGTGAGAGACCCAGAAGGTACTTTCACGACAGCGTGGTAATATAACACACATTAAAGTTTTAAATTTTGAAGGTCTGAAATCGCAATGGCAGCGTTGAAGCAAAATTCTGACCCAATTTTAATTCCTTCCGGATTTTCAGAAACTTCAACATCACCTGAGTCATCACATGGACAACATTAAGGTAACCGGCACCACGTTCATTCAGGGCATAAAGAAAAGACAAAATACAGACTGGAACGAGGTTCGACGTCAAGCAGCTGGTCCACATCATCCGGAGAACTCGAAAGCGTAACCACCGCCGAAGGTGTGGGGCTCCTGCCTGCCTTCAGCGTCTGGTTGCGAACTTCCGCCGTAATGGGCCGGTGGCTGTGGGACGACGGGATGCGCGCGTCTCTGCTCCGTCGTCGGGAAGGACGCGGGTGCAGAGGCCTGATACACATTCTTGGCAGCGGATTTGCTCTCGTAGTCATCCTGCACCTTGTAGTACGGACTGCCTTCTTGACCACGGAACAGAACATTGCTTCCAGCTCCTTGGTAACCCGCCGTGTAGGATGGTGCAGCTTGGTAATGAGACTGTCTTGGTGCAAAGCCACCAGCAGGTGCAGCGGCTACAGGTGTTGGAGCTTTAGGAAGGTGATCACCCTCCAAGATTCGGAATCCCTCTTTTCCTGCAGTATATTTAACACTGATCTTTTTGCCGTTAGGATCAACGTAGGAGTAAGATCCTCTTCTGGTTCCATCTGGGCTGATGGATTCGCCCTGCTGAAGACCATTATCTGCCGCGAAGGCGTAATTGAAGGAGCCATCTTGAGCCAGGGACTGCTTGTGCATTAGAATGACTGGAAGTGGGCGCTGGGGTTGCTCATACTGAGGGGCGCGCTGCTGTGGTTCATAAGGATGTTCATACTGTGCGTTCACCGACAAAGCGATACACATCAGCAATGCAGACACTCCAACACACAACTGCAACCAATCACACTTCATTACAGACAGACGACAGCCCCTTCTTGAGAAGCAGATAATAGCTCAGCTGATCATAAGATCTCGAGGCTGAAAATCCATTACCGTGTTTACTGAACCCCAGGGGCGTAATGCCAACTTCTTAACAAGAATCTCGCATCAGCAAGCTATATTACTCGTATCTGGAAGCAGGGACAGGGAAGACGTATCGATATATGGATCGTACGTGTATCGATATACTGATACTGGTGTATCGCCTATATAATCTGGTATTTTCTGTGTCGATAACAAAGGGCTCGGATAAAAGTCAAAACTAACAAGAGGCCCGAGTTAACCAGTACAAGTCCCCGGCAACACGTCCTTTCTGAGCCCTGCCTTGAGCCGAATGAATCCACGTCATCCTTTTATAAGGTTCATTTAAATGCCGCGGACGAGTGGTTAACACTCATGCTTCATATCTCGGCCCAATGATCGAGATAATTGAAAATGATGGATAATCCAGAAGACTGATGAAAATGGCGAGAATAAATATCAATTTAATTTGCGATATTATCCAATTACGAAAAAAATGCAAAATGACATAACATTAAGAAACTCACAAACAAAAATTGTGCTTTCCACAAATTTTAAGTTAAAGAATTTATCTGTTATACATTAATAATGGGTATTTTCTTTTGAGCCTCCTTCCTTTTCTTTGACGCAAGGTCAGGCCAACACCGGAACTGTAGTCGAATTCCTTTGTTTTTCAACGTAAGCAAGCGGGGTCTCGATAGAATTATTTCCCTCGCTAAGACTAACGTCGGATAAAACGGATTTCGGATAACCGAAGGTCGGAAAGGATGACTTTACTGTAAAAAGTAACATTAAACTCCCACCGACGCACAAGCTCAAGGACTACCCCTTATCCGCTGTCCATTTACTCAACGTATTAACAGCTACTCTCGATATCTGCAGGCCGTGTTCTCCGTCCGGAATCTGACGACGCATTATGCAGCAGTGACGTAACATGACAATAAAAATGATTGAGCATACTGGAACCAAATAAAGACTTTGCTATGCATGAGACATCCATGCTATACCAATGAGATAAGCATGACAAGGAAGTGTCATCCGGAATTTAGAATTACTGTGATCACGTCACGAAGAAAATAGAAACTCTGTCATTAATAACTGAGCTCACTACGTGACATAACAAGGCAAACACACTCGGTGGACCTTTGGAGAAAGTTAACAGAAATCAGCGTACTGTAACAAGTAAATACTTGTTCACTGACCGTGTTAACACGTAATTTAGTAAAAACGCGAGCACATGTCTGGAATGCGTCGTGTCATGCGTCTCAAGTCCCATACGACAGTAGTGCACTTATTAAAAGAAATGTACATTTTCATAAAATGTGGGCGTTTCTCAAACAGCTTCCTGTGATATTTTACGTCACAGATCAGAGTACGACCACGCACCACGAAAAGGTGGTTATTCGAAAGAAACTTGTAATAAATCAGAGCAAATTCGTTGCAGCCAAGATTAGACATTATCAAATTGTGAAACAAATTTTACGATGTCTACTTCGTTGTATGTTTTCACAAACGAGAAATACACGTTAAGTTTAATCTTGGAATTAGTAAAAGTAGACGATCATGTTTATCCTCAGCCATGTGATGGGTCTTTCAAGCGACCCTTAAAAGACAATCATGTGTACTGATGTGAAGAGGGTACGTTCACAGCTCTTCTGCTAGCTAGCGATCGCCCTGATAATGTAGTCAGCAGTGCCTCTGAAACGTCGGTAAACTTCTACCAGACTACACGGAGCAACATTCAAGAAAAGGGGTTTGAATGCATTTAAGCCCACAAAAATAAAGGAAACAACGTTCATGAGGAAATTCAACTCGACCAGAACAACGTACTTTCTAGTAAAAACAATGCTTTGGTATTCAGTGTAATATTGCGCAAAATCTCTCTTTTGTTTCTGTGCACACGTCAACCGTTACATAATTATGTTTTAATTTTCGTTTTTATCCACCACACTAAAGAAAACGTCTGGATGTGGTATTAAAAAACAGAAAACATCTGTTTTGGACATTATCAAAGGCCTGCTTTCGCGGTCAACTTTCATAATGTCTTTTGTAATTTGTCCATACGTCATGGTCGTTGCAGTGAAGGCTGAAGAAATCGAATGCATTGAACAACCTATGTTGGTTTTCATTTTGTATAGTGTTTTTACCCAATCATTGAAGCTACGTTTTGTTATGAACAGTTACAAAGTAATTTTACTGTGAATATATTTAACCGTACCCAAATATGCGGTGTGTAATTTTGCCTTGAAAATGAGAGTTTTGATGTCTATTCAGATATTTCAAGTAGAGTTTGAAAACTATGCATATCAAGAACAACAAACCATTTCAATTTCTAACATGGATTTACTGATTACGAATAAAGCAAGCTCAAATGCATACAACATTTTAATTGTAACACTTCGTGGGAAGAGATCACATGGAAAACTTAAACACAGAGAAATAATCGTGAAGATAAAACTTAAGTGAATACAGTCAAGTCCATCACCAGATAATTATAACCTCTACTTTACATAAAGATCATATTTAACTTTTATCAAAGTCTCAAAAAGAAATTCATCATTAAAAATATTAATAAGATACAGAAATAGACAATAACACACACACACACACACACACACTTAAAACGCAGTTTATACCGACATTCGCCAATATTTCCATGAAAAAACACGAAGGCTTCACTTATGGAGCCTGCATTTAGTCAAACGCGAACTAATTTGTCAACAAGCACATCATATGCAACGACAGTGCAATTAGCCTAATTACTTTAAATCTGTATTTTTTTTATTCAAACCAAATGCTATACTTAGCTCTAAACTGTTTATGTACTGTCTCTGAAGAACACCATAAAATACAAATTAAATAAAAGTATTAAAAAACCTGGCATCGAACGCCTCGATTAAATCCATATGGGCCTGAAAAGTCCTGTCCGCTTAATACAGTATAGCATTTCCCACAGAATACATTAAAAATGCGTACTATAAGCAGTGAGAGACAAGAAATACACAAAAATAAAACTACTTATAAGTCATTCGTAAGTAGACTACATTGTTTTAACAGAAAAGGATTGGAATTTTTAAAATTTTATATAGTCATAAAAAATCATTTAATTTAGTGTTCATATTCATCACGCTCTGCACCATCTAAACAGAAATAAAACTTGTGAAATTAATTTCTGATACAGAGTGAACAAAATGCCGACCAACAAATGCTGTGACATCCCTAAAAAATTGTACGGCGCGCACCGTTTAAAACGGAACAAAATTAAAGCAGAATCAGGTGCGGCCCCATGTAAGAGATTCTCTCAGACCTCCCGATGACATTCGAGTCAAGATCCTCTCTGTTGCTAGGCCGCTGCTCACGTCAATTGCTAAAATAGTTGAATGACGCTAACAAGGAAGTGCCGAATTAAAACAGTACATTGATTGGTAACAACATTTCGGAACACAAGAAGTGTTTGTTAATCACAAATGCTGATGGAGCTGGAATTACTGTGGTTCCTATTTCAAGCAATGCAGTTGCAACAACGGGATACGGCGACAAGAATTCAATATTGTCATTTGTTTAATCGTTTTGTGAGTAAAGGGGTTTGAGATGTAAACGAAATACTCTGTATGCATATTCATCGTACCATAAATGACTTTTAATAGTTATCATAAAGCATATCTGACAACATACATCAAAATCAGTATGATATATCTTAAAAACAACCAAATTCGCGGATATTCTATATTTATATGTAGCCAACAATTTTTATTTGTTAGACATTACTTAAATACAGGCTTACGTCAAATATTCATTCTAAGTTTCATGAACGACACTGCCTCTTCCACATCAGAATTACTCATGCTGTCACCTACAGAAATGCTAACACACTACTTACGTGGATCTCCATGTTCAGCGTCTAACGTGCAACAATGGAGTCAAGACATCCGTCTCGTAGCTTTATATTTCGTAGGTGAAATCATGTCTTTCTCCGTGTTCCAACTACGCCCTTGGACACGAACGAACGTAACAGAGAAAGCAGGAGGCATAAGTAATGTGTAAAAACCGATTCTAACAGTTTCAGCGATAAACCAGCCAAAAATTCTTCCACTGAGTGAAGAAACATTCGTTCAGGCGGTCTTACACAACGAAACCTGATAATATGTATGACAATGCGCACCAAATTATGTTAAATATGTTGAGAAAAAGCTTCGTATTTTTCTTCCTTGACTTGGATTGGTTGCTATCAAGTCCGTCCGGGTTCAGAAGAGAAGAAAAAATGCTTTAAATAGAAATCGTTTCTCACATCAAAATACCAACATCCGTCGAGCACAGGACATGGAAAGATCTTCGAATTGGAGTGTAAAATTTATTAGCTGATTGTTCTTCTAAGGATTTCAACCACGTGTAAGTAGTGATTCTAACTGACACGACTCAGAGTCATTTTTGAGACTCTTCAGGACCCTAAGGTTCACTACCGTGTTCACAAAAGCCCGGCAACGAACACTATCCAATGAATCCGTCCCAGTCTGAAATCATGAAGAATACTTTGTTACTTTTTGAAGGTGAAGGGCTGTTAGCCTCTCCGCAAAAAAGTCCCAATCTGAAGGATAACCCCTTGTCGGATGTCTTTACAAAAACTGTCACGGCAACCGAAACATCAAACCGAGACTTTAATAAAGTCTTCTTGGGCTATCAGCCGTGTTAGTTGGTGATCAGTCGCCGACGTTTCGAGGACCATCTGCGATTGCTCACCAACTAACACGGCTGATAGCCCGAGAAGACTTTATTAATGAAAGCCGCCGTGAAAGCTTCACATCATATATTAGCGTCTGAGACTTGTTAACATCGTGAGTTAATTGTAACACGTGTTCCAATCTCGTTCAGGTTATACAGTGGAACGGCTATCATAACGTATTCATTATGATCTCCAGGAAGCGTTTCTACCACGTCTGTACTCAATTCGTGTGATATCAGTTTGGCTAATCTCCACTTTTAAAGAATTCTTTCGCGATAATTCGGTTCTACTACCTGAAGTATGAGAACGAATTATAAAGTTTAAGAGTTATTCCCGAACGCTAGTATTACTTGAATTGAACAGTAATTTCTCAGGAACGATTCATTCTATAGAATTCTTCCTTTTACATTTTCGTTTTGTTTTAAGGTTTTATATCCGTTCCCGGTGTTATTATACGCCAATTTTTCCATCATTCTATATTGGATAAGAAATAAATTTATATGGTAGGCCTGTTACTAATAGAATATAGTAGGCCTTCTGCCAGGAAAAGGGAACTATCAAACATGCTCAAACAAGGAAGATGGCAAGATCACTTGCAAATTCCACGCACTGTTACTGGAGAACGTGATGTTCTCACGGAATTTCGCAGTACCTAGAACGTAAAGGTCACACGGAAACAACTCTGTGACATAAAATGACAAAGAGAATTGTAAAAGCATATTTCAGTGACACTATAATCTGTGCTTGTCATTTTGTTTTGTGTTGTCATGGAAACAAGTAAGTACAACACGTATAAGTATGTGGTTCAATCATTGTGTGTGTATAGTATCAAACACGTTTTCTTATATACCTACGTGTGTTTAATGTTTATATTAGCATTTTACAATAATGAATGAAATGCAATGTAATTATGATTCTTCTAATATTAGTTTCTGTACTTCTCCAGAAGTGAGTGTAGATGTGAACTATAACCTAAACCTTAAAAAGAGGTCATTACAAAGACTCCGGAGTTGCTGACAGCTACTAAAATGAAAAGGGCATGGAGAATGATAAAAAGGAAATCAATTACAACTGTAATGCTCCGGATATTGACAGGCTAAGAATCAGGGATGGAAAAGTTGTATCAAGATCTGCTACTAGCATTCAAGATCCAGACAATGACATTACAAAAAACCTGGGGAAATGTTCAGCAATGGATAGAAGTCCACCAACATATCGGTATGTAGTCTTACTTTACAACAATCTATGTTTTAAAGAAAGAATTAAAATTTAATCGATTTATTACAGTAAGCTAGTCACATGTGATTTGGAGTTAAAGGTGTTGTTAACCATGCACAGATGGCACAGTGCCTATGAATCAGAAGAAAACCATAAATTCTCTAAGAAGAGGTCAGTTAGTAACACATCTGTGACCCCAAGAAGAAACAAGCCACCAGACAAGAATGTAAATAAAGATTACTTAATAAGTTTTCAACGCAGCTTAAAGTTACTTGGTATACAACCAAAAGACTTTGGCATTAACAACGAAATCATTACATCCAATCTGCATACATCACCAAGGTATTATGAACAAATCAATGATTGCTATATGTAAGTACATATTTATTTCAGTAATAACGAAACCAACTTATTACAGGGTCGGACCAACATTTCACACTCGTCTTACAAATCGAAGTTTCTCTCTAGAAAATCTGAAGTGTGTGATACAGGATCAAATTGGCGTTTCACAAAGGACCTCTAGAGGTGTGTTCTTGTGGTAAACAATGAATGTTAGATAGAGCATAGTAAATATATTCCAGATTCTGTTCTGACCAACTTCATGATATTTCCTGCAGGAAAAGATTTATAATCATTCTTTCGTCAGATTCAGTGCCATATAAATTCTGCAGTTGAGATGGTACCATTAAGTAAACCAGAAAAGAATTCCATGCAAGGAAGTCTCATGTAACTTGAAAGGATAAATTAAAAAATTACAGACTAATACCTCAGAAAATGCTTATAAAATTATAGACATAATATTTTTACGGGTCCGCAGTGGCCGCACGGTCTGAGGCGTGGGCCAGGCACTTGAAGAACGGGTTGTTCCCAGTATCCAGTATATTTTTACTGATTATCATATCATACTGGTAACATTAATGCACCAGATTTAATATGTTCTATGATTGGCTCAATGTTATAGAACACATAGATCATAAAATGCTATCCAATGCTGTGTATGAAGTATGGTATTTCCAGAAACTCGAAGAGGCACGCAGAAGAAAGAAAGCACAAGACATTAATGACCAGAGGAAAAAAGAACACTCTGAAAAGGTATGAGCAGTCTAATTCACATTCAGAAGGTACATAATTCAAATCCCAGCTGGGGACTGACGACTCAGACTGAAGTTTTTAATGGTATCCCTTTAGAAAAACATAATATATCATTCCTGATTTATCAATCAGTCACCTGATCATTATCTTATTGCTGTTACATAACCTCAAAGATTTATGCAGCCTTGTAAAGTGACCAAATACCAAATCGGTATAGAAAGCCAATTGCCACAGACTTTATTTTAATAATTTAATATTTTGCATATTTGCTACAATATTTAAGAAGTAGTGCATGTTAAGAAAATGTGGTTTTCTAACAAGGTATCATTCCCCCAATGGGATAATAGCATATGTGCATCTCAAGAACACGAGTAAAACTGCAAACATCCTTAGCAGCCCCTGGGATTTATATGTTTATATATTTATTTATTTGTGGTTATTTAATGACATCAGTAACTCACACTATATAACAGGTTGATTAATGAATAATGAATTGGTAAGGTTATGAAAGGAAGCAGTCATGTCCTAAATTATGTGTAATCCTGGCATTACCAAGGCGGGTCTGAGTAGATGAAAAATCTCGGTCAAGATAACCAATCTACAGGCTGAGATTTGAATACAACCTCCCAAATAAAGAGCAGGAGTGAACTTGGCCAAAATATTCAATGCCTGGTATTCAACCCAGGAATCTTCCAAATGTAAAGGAAACACAACAGATATGTAGACTAAATTTATGACTTGTGATTTTGTTCATAAATACTGTATGTACTGTACAATATTTTGTATCTGTGTTAAATGAATGGGGAACATATTCAAGTATCTTGGAACCCTATTAAAAGCAGGTTTTACTGCATGAATATAAATGTATGATTTGGCCTCTTTACTCTTAACTTATCATGAATATAAACATGAATAATGTAAATGTTTGTATATTGACTTCAATATATAATATTTATTTTAAGGTTAAAACAGAGCAAAAACAGAAAGCTGAAGAAAACTTCATTGAATGGAAGACATTAAAAAATAAACAGAAACAACAGCAACAAAAGAAGAAGACCGAAAGTGAATCTGGAAGAGATTTCAGGTTATAAATTCTAATGATGTTTAACAAACTATATTTTAGAAACAACATTTATCCTTTAATAACAACTTGTCTGGCAGGGAGAGGGTTAAAATTTATCTACCATAATCTCTCCATATCAAACCCTTGGAACAGGGGTGTGCAAAATTTTCAGAGCATGGACCACATTAGTAAATATAAAGGTCATTGTAAATCAGTTTAAAATTTTGGTACTCAGTGGCATAATTTATGATTACATTGTTAATTTTTCATTTATTTAAATTAAAACAATGTATTTAAATAATAAGCCTGTATTAGGACAGTTTTAATCTGCTCAAAATTCATGTATATCTAACGCTGTTTGTTTTCATGAGCTCTGCTCTGACATAGGAAAAGACTCGTAATTCTATTTACAAACATTCATGTAAGTCTGCTGCTCAGTTCTGTTCCAGAAACAATTTTAGAAATTAGTTATTCACCAATATGCGTGTGTCTCGTCTGTAAGGAAGGTTCATTACACTGAACAGGCAAACATGCTGTCATGTGTAATACTGAGCGAGGTAGTATAGCTGTAAAATGGGGGATTTAAACGGATCTAACCTTGAAATGTCAAGGATATCTCTGCTGATGTGAACCTGCCAGGCTTTTGATTTGGAAACCCCCCCCCCATTTCCAAGGCCAAAAAATAGGTTCCATGGACCACAGTCCAGGGGACCATAGGTTGCATATGCCTGACAGTATTTTTTTTAAGAATCAGGCCCTTCCTGAGAAAGACTGAATTACTTGCATAATATTGTGTAAATTACTTAATTTGCTGTAAGAAGTGTTAATCAGAATCACTGACAAGCATTCTGTTTCATTGTTATCTATAATATGAGATAATTCATGTTATTTTGTTGACAGGTTAACAGATGGGGCAAAAGGGAAGCCAAATCAGGAGGAAGCCTTTCTTTTATGGAAAATAGAGAAAGATAAACTAATCAGACATAAAAAATTGAAGCAAAAAATTCAAAAGGAAACAACAAAACCAGATAAAGAAAAGAAAAATGAAGCAGAAATGGTGGGTTAAATTTTCTTAAAACTGATGTATCCCAAAATAACTGGCAAAACCCAAAAGGTTCAACATTTATAATATTAAAGGACATCTACACCAAATTACCAGAACATCTGATTTTAACCATATATTACTACTACCAGGCAGGATTCAAACCCAAAACTTAACATTTTACTGCAATTATAATGTTACATGTTTAGGTTTTCAAGCTGTGGAAAAAACAGGCAGATAAAACCCTGAAAGAAAAAGCACGAGAGGAAGAAAGAAAAAAGCAAGAAGAGGAAGAAGGAAAGAAAGAAAAGGAAAGACTTAAACAAGAAAGTGCCAAGTCATCATTTAATGCATGGAAGAAAAGAAAAGATTCAGAACTCAGGAATAAAATTAAGGAAGACAAGTAAGTCCAATGATGTAGTACCACCCTTGCATAACCCATTTTTACATAACTAATACTTTTCCCTGTACTATATTTACACATCCATTGTCCAGTATTAATACCATTATTTCCATATCCCTCTTATGTCACCACCTGTTTTATGCTATTTTTTTTGTCTTATTTACTTTGTTTTTGTAACAATGTCAAGTGAGACACTTTGGTGGCCAAATGCATCTCCACTTTTGTCGTGGTGGTGGGGCTTGAGTACCTCAGTGATCCCAAGAGCTATGCTGGCAGTAGCATAGCTACTGGCAGGACCTCCCTAGCCAGATTGGTCGAGGGGGAGAGGTCAGACTAAGACAGGTACCCTGGTCCTCCAGGTTGGGGGATGGTCGCAAGAGGAGAATTGAGGAGGCCATGGACCGAATATGGACCGGAGAGCCATAGAAGAAGAACAACAACAAAAATAGAAAGATGCTGCAAAATTAGCAGTGCCAAGCACAATTAAGTGTTTGGGAACCAGAAAAATATGTATGATTTTAGGTTGTCACAGCAGCAAGCATGAAAGCGACTTGTCGTCTGGGATGCTGCAGTGTGCAGTCTGGTAGAAGTTTAATGGTACCTCTACCATCAGGGCCCTGATAATGGAGGCAGTGTGCCATTTCCGTACTAAATTTAATTTATAAAATAAATTAATTTTTTGTCTATTCACAGAAACTTCTTTTTATTGATCAGAGCCACAAATACTTAACTTTAAGTATCAAAAGATATGAGAATTGATTTTCACTAATATTATCAAATACCAGAGAAGTAATAAGTTTCAGATGTTAAGAAATTGGTTTTTTATTTGTTTATTCCTTTGTGATATTTGTTTAACTTATCCAGTTGATATCTTTCTCCACGCAGGCTGGCAGAAGAAGAAAAGAAAAATGAAAAGTTGATGCAGCAGGCAGAGCGCTTATATGAAGCTGAGCTAGTATTTGAGGAATGGCTCACCCAAATAGAAGAGAGACAAAATACACAAGCAGATGTTATACGCAAGCAAAAGCAAAAAAATGAACATAAATTGCCATGGTGGCCTGGAGGTTTTGTTTCCTGGTAGACAAAAAATGTATGTTTAGAAAATATTTATGCAAGAACTTCTTATCAATAAATTTCAATATAGACAAGTTATTAACTGATTAATAACAAGTGATGTTTCAACTTGTAAATGAAGATGGACACAGGAAAACATTACTGACCTTGGTAATAATTATTTGAATATTATGGTCTACAGTTAATTTCACTTTATCCACGATGGAACCAACATTCCATGAACAAGAATCTTGTAAAGATGATACAATATGTGCGGGCCCCTGTGAACACGGTAGTAACTAACTTATTGTAGTAAACAATATAAAATATTATTAAATAATCATGGTCTGTTCTTCCCTTCAAACCATTTATATTAACAGAAATTTTGAAAAGCACGTCACAAACAGAAACTGTCATTCTGATCGTTACCAGACAAGTAACCGTAGTAACAGAATTCAAATATGACATCAGTCTTACTTATTGCAGTTAGAGAAACAGTGTTACTCAATTTCTTGACTCTCTAGAATATTATGTAGTTCTTTTCCGCTTTGCTTAAGTTTGTTTTTGTGACGTTCCCGTTTCATTCCCATGCATTCATTTGCACTCCTTACCAAGTATTGTATGGATAATCAAATCAAGGAGCAAGAGATTGGCACAGAATGTAGCATGGATGGGGTTTAGACATGCTTACAAAATCGCTATTAGAAAGCCTAGGCATAGATGGGAGGGCAATATGAAGATGGATCTTAGGAAAAGAGAATGTGGAGTGGATTAATCTAGCTTACTATGTAATGATATAACAGGAGCCCTCTCATTTTGTCTCCATTTTATTAAAACTGGTTTATTTCAGTCTGACTTCAACTTAATCGATCCATATTCATGTCAGGGGTGCGTTTAATATCGCCATTGACAGTACTATACACGACAGCCATTTTTGCTTGAATGGTGGCTGGCAAACGTACATATCGTAAGATTATGTAAACTTTCTAACCTGAGAATTGAGTACGCTGATTTCCTGTCGAACGCAGCTATAGATGATGGATGAAGACTTAACAAAGTTGCCCTTGATCCATTGTAGTGCACGAAAATGCAATCGGTATACTGTGGCCAAACACTTTAACACAACACATCGTCGAATTTTTACAACAGCCATCTAGCATTCTTCTAGACTGGTCGCAAAGTGGCGTGTTTGCGCGTTTTCTGAAAGATGTATATCTAATTTCTGAACGCAACCGATAAATTAAATTCAACTGAGTGATTTATTAATTTAGGAAAATAATTTATCCTAAAAGACATCTATAAAACATTATGGCCAAAGGCAATTTATATTAAAATTTTCCCGGTCAGAAAGTTTCGTCTTTTGATCATAAACGGAAGCGTAAATCCTTACTTTCTTATTCTGCTGTGTTTCAACTCCGAAGTTATTCCAGAGATAAGAAATCTCCTTGCACACATGACAGGCGGCCTTAGATGCAGAATGTAATTCAAGGCACATACCTCCATTAAACTACATAGAAAATCTAAAACTTTATACGACTTCCATTTATATTCAGCGTAACCCGTGGTTTTCACTGTTGAAATGGCATAAATAGTTTTGTCTATAGTCTGTAAAGAGGGGAGAATTACTTAAAACCTATATTTGAAATCCGAAAAGAATCGTCTTTCTTAAAAAATAAAATTTCGCATTTAGCATTTGTGGGATTCGGCACTACAATGTAAAGCAATACGCTCAGTCTTCACCCAAATAACTGCACAGAAAATCATAATCGTCCTAGAATTCGTGTCAAATATCATTCAAGGCCAAATATACAGCACTCGCTACTTGTTCTCGATTACCTTTATTTGTGTTCTTCCGGAACGACGAGAGACCAAATTCAGATCCAACAAAGGAACAGGTAAAATTACAGACCGCTTTTTTAATCTTTGTCTCAAACAGCGGGGTTTTGTAAACACGGTAATTAATCATCGAGTCCCATAAGAGGCGGGGAATGTCTTGACTGGCTGTGCAACTATTAGCTTCTCAAGAAGCATGAACGTTTATTAGATAGGAGACAGGATGGTAGCGTTCCTTTCACGAATTTTGGCACCCCTGTTTTGTGACTTGAATTCTTTAAGTAACCCACTTTGCCGTTTGAAAACGATGTGCTGGAAGTGAACTATCACCTTCAAACGTCTGGTTCGAGCAAACTTGTAGGAAATCGATAGCAAAACCATGTTCCGCTTTCTTTACATGGAAACGCCCTCATCTCTATGACATAATTTGTATATTTACGCTGAGAATTTCAACCCAGGTCTTTATCAATTTGTATTTCAGTGGTAACTATGTATACCACCTACGTTTACGTTTTTACTTTAAATGCTGCTCATAGAGCTCTTACCTGGTTTTCAGTAATTTGTTTCTACAAATCATTATCCTTTATACGTATATTTGTTACCGGAACAAAAAAGAATACTACTAGCTTATGTATGACGAACAATTTCGGTTGACAGCTTAATTTAGTTCCAGACCTTACTAAAAGGACCTATGTGGTGACATATTGCAAGAGGTTTTGTTTCGGTAATGCTCCCCTCCCACTCCACAGACTGACCTTCCCTATCGTTGAATTGTTTACCTCGCATCTCAAACATAGAGGAATCAGATATAGGTCGTTCTGAACAGGATAAAGTACAAAGTTTCGTTTCTTATACATACACCATAAGGTTTTTATGTATCAGTTGTATTGGAATGTTTACCATCGTCTTCGTATAGACCAGTGGTATTCAACCTGGGGTACGCGAAGACATCTTAGGGGGTACGTGAAATTAAAGACAATATATATTATTTTATGATAAACACTGAATAATAAATAATGTAATTTATTTTAGATGTAGATTGTATACTACGTATAACTTGAATTATGCACCGACAACTTTGGGGGTACAAAGTTGAAGAGAAATTATATCTGGGGGTACGCGAACAAAAAAGGTTGAATACCACTGGTATAGACTATTACAATATAGTCCTATCCGTGAATGTTTTTGGTGAACCCGCGTATGCTGCTCATTACTACTTGTTCTTAAATTGCTTACGAATCTTTGTGTACCATTTTCTCAAACACACACACACACACAAATTAAAGGATAACGGGACTTTCTACGTACCTGTAGAGCCCTATTAAATGACGTACAAAAATTAGGAATGTAAATTAGATACAAGTAAAAAGTAGGCCCTACTTGTGAGTGATAATAACATGGTATATTTTGATTGGATAGTTACAATTATAAGCATTATATTATATGATTGTAAACAATTAAATATAATAAATAATATCACATTTTAATTCATTAATAGAGGGGACAGTAAAGAGCTACACATTTTCAGCACAGTTTTGATGTTTTACAAAGTTAAAAATGAGCATTGAAGTCTTGTGGATTGTGACCATGTTTGGATTATGACCAATGTTTCGGAGGAAAGTATCGCACTTTAAAGATAAAAGTAACTTCCACCCTGAAGATTGGTCCTGTAGGTTGTGATGCCATATAGTAGTAATAGTGGTTCTTAACGGAGGGACGTATCGGCTATATATTCAGGGAAAAGATAATTTCTACCCTGAAGTCTTGAGTACAAAGCAACGCAACCCAGGAGGTCGCAATCCACGTACCCATTTTTAGCTGTTCATTCTTTTTTAAGCAACAAAAATATACACAAATCTTGTGATGCAACAAGTGTTGTTTAAATACAGATTATCTATATAGAATCGGATATTTCAGCATAATAATTTAAACATTTCAATACACTCACTGAAATCCATTCTGAATTTTAATTAAGAAAATCTGAGAATCTTGAATAAACAATACATTTCACAAAGAAACAACGATGTACACCTAAATGGAGAAGTAAATTCGAGAGACATTGTTAGGACTCTTGAGTCTCGTATCTCGTATCTGTTCAAACAAAGTGACGAATGAAGAAACAAGAAGTCCTGGAAGAAATTCTGACACCTTCCTTTGAAAATTTTTCCTCTCTTCATAAATATTATCATAACAGTTATACAATTATATTATTAATTATATAGCGTACTGATTTTTAATTATGCAGTTCTCGACGATACGGGCATCCACTAGACCTATCTTAAATCATCACACATTACAAAGATTCATGTTGTCGTATAGTGCGTCATACATTTTGCCCTATATGTCAACGTTGTACATTAATTCCCACGCCGTTCATACATAAAAGTATATTTTACGTAAGTACCCCGTGTTTTTGGTATTCGCCGAAACTTTGAGGTTGTTCTACTTAGTTTCTTCGGGATAAGCTCACCACAGAAGAAAGCAACGAGCAATCCCATTTTGAGGGAAATTCTAATGAAATACTAATGCGATCCTGTATTTTTACATTTGTCTCAGTTGCATACAAAATTGTATGTTAAGATGTCACTATGAAGTTCAACTGAACACTTTCAAAGTTACTTTTTTAAAATCATATTACACGGTTTTTGACAAAGAGAAGGAAAAAATGCCTCTGTGTCTAAGCACCAATCAATGAAAGCATATGGGGCTACGTATCATACACTTCGCTAGTTTCATATTCCAGTCTCTTCACTCCCCAGGGAAAAGCTAGACAGGAAATTGAGTGGACCAGGATATGGCGGAGAAAAAAGAAATCCCTATCGCTATAGGGAATCGAACTCCGTCCGTTCAGCCCATAGTCGGTCGCTAGTCACAATATTTCAAAATTCGATCAGTAGTCACTGCTTAACAGCTGACGGTCATAACAGAAGAACGAACCCATAAATTGTATGTCACAGACGATGTCAATGATTGGTCTGCTACGTGCATAATTCTTTTGATTATACTGCCTTATTTCTATCACATCAAAATTCAGTGAGCACATGTAAACAACTATTTCACTTTGTTAATACATGTTTTGCATTTTGTCAGTCAGTTAGTTAGGTAGATTATATAAAGGTTTGCATTGTTTGAGCAATAAATGTTGTTAAATACCAACTTGAAAGACTTCATATATTTAAATATGAATTTAAGTAACAGCTAAAGTTTAAAGTTTATAATTATGTTATGTAGCTGATTTAACAAATATATATATATATAACACAGCACATTGTTTAATAACAACTGATGTTTCGACTTGTGAATGAAGATGGACACAGGAAAACATTACTGACTTTGGTAATAATTATTTTAATATTATGGTCTACAGTTAATTTCACTTTATCCACGATGGAACCATGAACAAGAATCTTGCAAAGATAATTTAGTATGTGCGGGCCCCTGTGAACACGGGAATAAACATTCGGGTTCATAAAAGACGGGGGATTTCTTGACTAGCTAAGTGTATCTTCTCAAGAAGGACTTCGTCCCACAGAGTTAGTTGGTTTCATATAAAATGTAAAGAAATGCTTACACTGAAAAATAAACACTGTTAACTTTGGTTTAATTTTATACTAAGTTCCTAGATTCATTCTTACACGAACCGTAATATCATGGGGAGCAAACTATGTTGTAAAAGTACATTCGAAATTATTTATATATTATATAAACTGCAGCCTTTTTGTGAAAATGTCGCAATAGTTTTTGTAAACGTAATTCAACTTCCCAATTTCCGTGATGTGGTCCCTTCAAAAGCAAATGTTTTTTTTTTCTCTACAGATCGCGTGACTGGCTATCTGGTTCAACTTACGATCAATAACGAAGGCCGGTTTCATTTACCTTACATTTCTACCGACCGCCTTAAAAACTTATGTATTTAAAATATATATCGGCTTTCGAATATTAAGGATTTTTGTGTAATAAACATGCAAAAAATGCTCCATTTTGATAATATGTTAGAGGAAGATCGTAGAAGTTATCCCTTACCTTAACAGCATATGCGCCTTTAGTTATGATGAATGGTATTTATAACGGCCACCCAGACCCAGGGATCCATAAGTGTAGCTGGCGTCTTCTGGTGGCCGATTTACAAGATCACGCGCAAAGACCTTTTTTTACAGTAAACTTACATTACTCGCTCAATTTTATAAAATGAACTATACAAACATGTTCGTATCACTTTCTCTTATATTACCCATGCACGTTTAAACTTTATACTGTCGGAAAAATGCTGATGAGAATAATCACAAATCGTAACTATGACAAGAAGACGTATACGCACTGGCCACGTTAAACACGGCCATGAAAAGTACACATGGTACATTTAAATGACTATATTTATTTATGTATAGCACTAACATTAATTTTATTAGTTTTCTGCCATGGGAGACATAACAGTTGGGAGTGTATTTTAGTTAGAAGTAATAAAAACATGTTAAATGTGTTATTGGTGTGCATCCAATATCATTTGTTGACAGTGATTATAAATTTTCCATAACAGTAATCAGTGTTTCTTCTGTGATACTCTCCACAGCAACTATTTCTCCCATCAGGACTTCAGCTTATGTGCATTATTCTTGTAGACGGTCCTTTCGTGAATTCGTATGAGCAGCAATCAGAAATTCAAATCCGGTAATTCCAAATTGCACACGATACCAATACGAGGGGTCTGAAAAAGAATGCTTTATAAATTTTAATATGCATCTTTACAGTCATCTGTGTATACCAATGTTAGTATAATGCTTTCATTCACATCAGTTTCGTGTTTATAAATGTTTTCTTCAGTCAGAAAAATAAATGTGTATTTAAATTTTCAAATTTGTGGGGCCTCCTAAATTAGACATGGGCCTTAGACGGTCAAAGTCCAGCTCTGTACATTATTCATGTTACATCTCAGGTTATGAAACCTTACTTTAATTGTAAACGTTGTTTGCATAAGAAAATATGCTTCAATGAAACAACCCGTTAATATTCAAATTATGGAACAATAATTTAAAATTGTGAAGAACAAACAGTCTGCTAAGAATTCCTAGGATAATTAAAATAAGGATGATTTGCTTTCATGATGCTTCATTTATTTATATTTGCTTATCCTCAGAATTTTCTGTTAAAATTTACTCCAGACTGATATATAAACGTGAAGAAAACCAAGCAAACAGCAAGAGAAGATATTTCTATCTCTAAGAAAATAACAAGCGTAAATTTTTTGTGGCTTAAAATATATGAAATGTCCGAAAAACTTCAGGTAGTTATTCAATGACTCATTTTGAGTGAAGCATATTATATCAACAAAAGATAAAATCTCAGCTGTTATATAGTTATTAAAGACGCAACGGAAAGAAAGTCAAAAAACAGATTAAATTATTTAATCGAAGAAATTAATCAGATACACAGGAATGGTATTCTACACTTATTTAACATACACTATAACGTAACATACTTACGTGGCTTGCTGCTTGAAATGAACTCTGGCATTGGCTGCGCACAAGCAAGTCCATTTTAAAACAGCATTGCTGCTGATTTCCGTCTTCTGGGTTGTTGCGCTGTGTAGCCAATTGGCACATTCATCGCCCTGATGACGGAGGCAGTATGACCTCTGAAACGTTGGTAAACATCGACCAGACTACACAGCGCAACAACCCAGCAGACAGAAATCTTCGCAGCATTGTTGCTTTCTGTATTCTTACACGATTGTTCCATGTGAGAACATCAGAGTCCCAAGATGCACTGGTAAGAGTTCTCACGTCTGTAACTTTCCTTGAGCACTGATTCAAGTATTACGAGCGTCGGACACTGAAATGAGGTTCAGCACGATCGAGTTGCAGTCACATATTTAACCTTGACTGGCAAGGAGCGTCTCCCAAAATAAATGGTAGTACTGTGCTGTTAAATGTCCCTCAGGTACAAATGACCCCACTGATGAAACTCAAGGAAATAAGGATAAAGGGAATAGATTCATCAGATAACTACACAAAGGTTATGATTTCAACCGACATCAAAATAACACTTTAAACTCAAAATAAGTCAATAAATAGTCACCTGAAGTTTGGTATATTTTTGTGGGACAATCTGAACTTCTGGACCCAGACGTAATCACTTCAACAAATGGAAAATTACTAACGTGATGTCTGAGGGCATTAAAGCATGGTGGCGCATTCTCAGGCGATGTAAACTCACTTCACAGTTACTGTGAATAAAATAGTTAAAAAAAATAAGGCGGGAGTGTGTGTTGGTTCACTTTACATAACAGAACTGCCCCCTGAAACTAGTGTTTTGAGAGAAAAATAGCAATGTATGTAATATTTGCTGTATTTCCTTACGCTTTTCTCTGAACTAATCGATTTTCACAACACCTTCTATTTGCGGGACGTTAGCTCGGATTATTTAAACGCAAATTTCCACCAACAGAATAAATCGTAAGAGTTCGAGAAACACGGAAATTGCACGTTTCGAGACGTGAAAACAGACTAATACATCTAGAACATCAGAACATCGATTTCTGTAGTTGGAAAACATTAATAGGCCTAATTTTCTATTCTTATATTCATTCTATTTGTTGTGACATTTCACATGGTAACATGTTACAACTAATTACTTATTTAAATCCTAGACGTAAACAAGAGTTAAAAGAAAGTTCATCTCTCTTATATGGACTATATCAGGAAGGAATTTGTTGATCAGCTGATTATCATCATCTTCCCTGCCCCCTCAATTTGTACAAATTTTCTGTACAGGCCGACTGAAACTTTCTCTCAAATGATCTTCATTCCATAAAAACATAACAAATAAATACATGCAACATATAGAGCATATATTTGTTTCAGATTTAGGGCAAAACCAGAAACAAATAATTTATCACATTTAGGTTCTGGAACACTCAACAAAATATCTTCACTAACGCCATTTATGCCTGAGAAATTAGATACAAGAATTCTTTAAAACGACGTCTCCTTCAGATTAAATGCCGATCTGTCGCTCCCTTACCAGATGATCTACTTTAAAGCGACGTAGCGTCTGTCACTTCCAAGTCCGTCGAATCACTGAAGACCTTCAAAGGACGAGTCGTCTAGCGTGTGAAGCCAGTTAAAGATCATCATGTTGCGCTCATACTTAGACAGAGGCTTCCCTCTCTCCCTTTCAACATCTCTAATTGTCAACGGGAGGTTCTTGTTCGCTCTTTGCTTCACAACACGAAGCACTGCGGCGCTGGTAGCAGAAGTTGGAATTGAAGTACTTGTGTTGGGAGTAGAACCAGGAACTGTGAGGTGAGTTGCGCCAGAACCAACAGCAGTAGTTGTTAAGCCTCCAGCAGGGTTGCTGGTACTGTTGACAGTTGCTGCAGCTGTGGCAGCTGTGACTTCAAGTCGGTCTAGGTTAAATTCGCTCTGTGACAACCGTTCCAAAGCCTTGTATGTCGTGAGGAGACGACGCCGGATGTAAGTCTGACGCACCTGCGCACATAGACACTGAGGGTTACACACTAAATCCATGGAGCAGAAGCTAATCATCTAGTCAACGCTATATTTCCGCTTATGCCTTTCGAAATCTGCTTATTTCATTTAGTGCTAACTTCTGCACCTCATATAGCAGAACAAGAAACATGGAGGATACAGTTTCGTGGTTAGCAGTCCACCTTTTATTCTGAAAATCTCGTGCTCAAATCTCGGCCCGAATATAAACTCTACAGAGGCTTTCTCTACGTTCACACACCCACAGCCATACATAACCACGTCTTTAAACAACCAGCCAGAAGGTAACGAAAAGGAGACTACCTCATGAAAAACATCCAATATCGTACCTTCTTGTTGACGGATCTGATAAGATCAGCAGCGGTAAAAGAAGGGGGTGTGCTGACGATAGGCGCCGTCGTGTTATGTCCCCCGTGGGGTGACGGCAGTTGCGAAGTGGAGGCCACATCTCCAACAGCCACCCAGGTGGAGCAGGAGCGAGAGGCGTGGTCGAGCCGAGGGTGGTCCAGCAGGTACCCCGACCTCTGCACAGAGTTGAGGGCCAACTCGGAGACGGCACATCGTGGGGGCGGTTGATGCGGCGTCTCGTCAGGCGATGGCAGCTGACTGATGTCGCTCGTGCTGAAACTCTTCTGGAGTCCGAGTGCCGAGGACAGCACGGCACAGCTACGGATCAAGTCGTTCTCCTCCTCAAACCACAGGATTTCCGGAATATCGGCTGGCCTACAGCACAATTAAAATGCTGTACTAACTCGAACTGTGTCATGTCTAGGCCAGATTCTTTAATTCCGAATATGAGGCTGCCAGAACTTCACTAGAGCCTCAGCAGGCTGGATGTGGCACAAAGTAAATCTGTCGCTACGGAAAACACAAACACTTAACAATACCTACTGTTCCATCTCTCCCACTCTTCGTCACTTTCCTCTTAGGTCCGATGCCGATTTTATTTAACAGTTCAGATGCATGGAAATTTCTCCTTACACCATGCCAAAGTGGTAGCGCAGCCCTAAAGAAGTCATTGCCGTCTTGCCATTACCCATTCGAAATATCCTATACGAACTAATTTAAACACTGAAAGCAAAACGGCAAAATATTTTGAAATTTATCAATAAAATATTCGAGCCATTTGTCGCCTGCGAGTCTTAGACGTGGAATCCATATCGTAATGATTACCACTCCTACATATTGTTGTCTTCTCTCAACGCTACGTAACTACCAGAGTCTCCGTCCAAATCTTAACTACTCAGCATTTAATTCTATTTCCCTTTAGCAGCTGAAACACACTTATTAAACACGGGTCTAAATATAACACGGCAAGTAGTAGCGAAGGCCGAGCAGGTCGCAGTGAAAGGGATTTATGGGTGACAAAAAGGAAATTGAAACTACGATGGAATCCAAAAACATCCGCCCTCTTATTTCCTGCTAGGCTAATCTTTTAGTGTTCATACACCTGTTAACTATGTTGGAACAATCCGCGCTAGTTAGAAACTAGCCATCTTTTCCTTGACGTGTTATTAACAGATCTATATATTAACACTGACTTAGTTCTCATTTAAACTGTACAATTATTTGACATTTTCCGTATTCCTGCCATTTGTTTTAATGCTATAAAGGTCTCGGACGCTGACTGCCTCCGTCGTCAAATGGAAGTATTAAACCAAATGTTCTTGATCCATTGGAAGGGGATAATATTAATCAGTGGATCGTCTTAGATCCTCCGCTGTATTCATGCGCATAAGGAAGGAAACTGGAGGGAGGGGGGACCAGAGAAGCTTTTACTCTTGAGGAAGCAAATTTTACTGTGTTGACACGCTGGTGACTGGACAAACAAACACGGGGAATCGATCTCTTGTCTCTGACCGTTAAAAGCTCTCTGGCGTGCCATGAAACTGGGGCAAGTAAACAAAGCTTAAAATACGTTTTCAATTAAACGTTGTCGGAGCCTTTGAATAGTCACTGAAACTACTGGAAGTTCGTTTTTGCAGAAATACACTAAGAGGCCTGTAAAAGCGGAAAAATGCACCAGCTTCCAAATTTCAATTTTCTTAATAAATTCTTCAGAATCTCACCTGATGTTCACTTACTGCAAATATTAATACAATATAAACGCACAGTTGGCAAATCAAATCAAAAGAATATACATCACACTGCGCACAGTATGGACACGTGTTTCAAACAAACGTTATGCATATAGACGGGATTGAGCCAGTCTCGAACAGGATCCCACTAGTTCCGTGCAATACAAATACGGTGTAATGTACTGCTACTTACAACCACGACTGCCAGTCCATGCACAAATGGATAACTAAATTGTAAAATTATTAATTTACAATTCTTCCTAACTTCATCGTACACATTGAAGCATTTTAACAGCAATTATAAACTTACTTTGAGAACGTCGTTTTGAATTGGCTATGTATTACTATCTTGTTAGCAACGCAGCAGATGCGAAAGAACAAATCTTCCTCTACCACAGTAATGACTAATTAATTAACCAAACAACTACCTACTAAATCATCTAACTAGATTCTAACCAACTAAGTAACTAAATACCAAATAAGTAATCAAGCTACTGACCAACCACCTTACTAATTAATTAACTAACCAATCAATTGGCTAACGAATACAGTAAATCTCTCCCAAAATAACCGAAGGTTCAACGCCGCTAAAACGAAGGCCTCCAGTCCATTTGATAGTTTTACCTCGTCCCCGTCGGAGACCAATCCTAAGACAGTGTATCCATTTGTGGTCTGCTAAACCAGACCACATTTAGCTCACGACAGTCTCCTTAATCGATCGTAATGAAAATTTTATTGCGGACAGCCATGTATTATACATCGATTGATAAACAGTCACCACTGGTTTTAACGGAGGCTTTATTTATAATGTGCAATGAAGACGTCTTACAATTTGCAGTCCTTCTGACGTGATTATCATCTCTGCTAATGCACGCTGCACCTTCCATGTATACTACAATAAACCTGTTCTTGTTACTCCAGCTGTTCGATTAATCTACTCACCAGACCGAATTTTGTACGTCCCGGAGGGGCATGATCCCAAGTAAAGGAGGAGTGAGCCGGCGAAGGCTATGGTATTTTACTTTATTCATGAAATCGTTATTACGGAGTTAAAGAAAAATGATCGAATTACATTACAACTGAAAAAGATTTGGAAGTAAATTATTGCTTAGTTTGTTTTCACATTTATATTTTGTGAATATGCGTTATAGTTCAATTTTAGTCGAAAAACACAAAGGTAAGATACCATTTGGGAGACCTAGGCGTAAGTAGGAAGATAATATTAAAATGAAGATTACGAAAATAGGGTGTGAGGATATGAACGGGGTTAGGTCAAGATACGGTCCAGTGGCGGGCGCCTGTGAACACGGCAATAAACCTACTGGTTGCATAAAAGAAGGGACATTTTTTGTCTGGTCACCCTGAGGGACTTATTTAGCTTTCTCACATTTTACCACAGATACAGTATAAAATGTTTTAGATCATCTTAATGAAAAAAATGTATATTGAATAAAAATATTTTGCACAATTCCGATAAATTCTATGAAGCTTCGTTTGAACTGTGAAGCTCAGATTATAATGGATTGACATGAACCGATACGAAATTTTCATAACTTTAACTAAAAATCTCTGTACTCAGTTTGGTCGAAATCCGGTTTGAGAGACGAAACACGAGAAAGGACAGCCATAGACGTACCCACCTCTCCATTGCGCACTCATATTATACATTTGTCCAAAAACGCATATGAAGACACGTGAACCAACTAGTCCTGAACTCTGACATTACATAATGCAATACACAGTGACCTGCTTTGAATTGTACACATTTTCACAAATGCCTAGGCATTTGATTGGTCTGAACCATGCTTTTTTTCTAATTATTTCACTACACTACTCTACATCTACACATGCAGCTTATATTTGAATTTTGACCCTCTGTCTTCATGTACTGCCGGACATTGAGCATCTACACGTCACAAAATAGGACTTACAGATTTCCAAGTCATCAGAGGACTGAACATCTCAATTGTGGAGTTATACGTATCTCGTAGAGTGACATTTCCCATCTTGTAAGGGTGGATATTTCGACGACTTCTTTGTTTGTTTGCGGCTAATTCTTTCCTTAAACAAAACACAACAAATTAAATTTATGGAACTCTTTCACTAACTCATTCAAACTGGCTGTTCCCCTAACAGCTGGTGTTTATTCATTTGTTCAAGAGATCCTCTCTTATTACTGAAACCGAATATCCACCCCTTTCGTCACAAAAGCTCGCTCATTAATCTTATCCTGAATAAGCTCAAGTCAGTTCACATCCTCCTCACATGTCATTTGCCGAAGATATGGCAAAAAGATCAGCTGATTTCAGAAAAAAACGCTTTGTTAACATCGTCAGTATTTGGCAGCACCTTTTGGTATAAGCTGCCCCCATAATCAGGGCAACGAGTTACTCATCGCTCTGATGGTGTAGGCAGCAAGCACCTCTGAAATACAGATAAATTTCTACTAGTCTTCTTTCGCATATTTCTTGCCCCTGTCAAAAACCGAGCCCTCGTCATAGTCTCTAGCCACATAAATAATACGTATACACTTGTAAGTGGAAAGAAAGTATAGACATGTTAGAAGCCTAGCTAATTATAATAGTTACTAGCGGCCACAGAAATAATCTACAGCTCTGTAAATATTTTATTCTGCATTTGTTTAGAAAGTAAGGTTTAGAATCCGTAGCTGTTAGAAGAATGACGCATAACAAGAATGATCTGGTGACAAAACCACCACTAATTTTATAGGCTATAGTATTAAATTATAAATTGACATCATTGTTAATAAATGTGGTATTTGTAAGACAAGAAATGCGTACAGAATGCTGATTGAGAAATCTTATGGAAATATGTCTGTGGTCAGAACTGTAGAGTGGAGAATCAGAAAGCGCAAACCTTCTTAGATGCTGATAGTCGCTTAGTTTGTCATGAAATTCCCTGTTTTTATAGAACCGTAAGGTACATTGTGTTCACAAGAGCCCACCACTGAACTTTATGCCGAGGCAGGTGAATCAAAGATGGCACCCTCAGATTATTTGATAACTATTTTATTCGTATTGCCTCCTAAATACGTCGAGGTTTCTGAAGTAAGCTTTTAATTATTTATTTATTCGTAGTTTATTCAGCGATGCTGTCAACAGCACACACTAAACGGTCTCAGGTTATAGGATCATAATGAATAATGAATTGTAATGGATAGGGAAGGAAATGGTAGTGGCCTAATTTGAGATACCAGAAACCAGAAAATCCGTTTTCTCTGGACAGTCAGTCTCAGGTCCGAGATAAGTTGTCTCTTCCCTTCAGTTTTTCTGACCAACATTTTGTGCACAACTCTCAACCCTCCAATTCGTTCTACATGTCACTTCCATATCATCTTCCTCGATTTTATTATTACTTTGACCGTTCTTAATTCCAAATATTGTACTCAACGATCTCTATTATTCCCTTGGGGCAGGGGGCTCGGAGGGGCTAGAACGAGCCCCTTCTTAATATTACTCTTTGTTATCGACACAGAAAATATTAAATTATTCAGGTGACACATCGGTATAAAAATATCGATACACATACATCTATGTATCGATAAATCTTGCTAAAGATACAGATCGCTGGTGCGAGCCCCTTGTTAACAAATTGCCTTGGGGTGAGTGAACAAATTCTACATTCATGTGAAGCAACAGGTGAAAACCGGAATTCTGCGAGAACAAATTGAACCAGTACTAATGCACAAAGAAGGCACCAAACTGATGACCTTGTTGCAGAACCTCCTTTTGAAGATGTTAATATTTTTCCCCCGTCACTACAAATTGTTCTGGCGTCTTTGAAAGCTGCTGTCATCACCAACTGATAGTTTACTGTAGCCTTTGCATCGTATTATTTGTTGTCTTTACCGTCTAGACAGACAGCGTAAATAAGATGCAGTTTAAACAAACAAACAAGCGAGGGGCAAGGGGTGGGGGAAAAAGATAATCTGAAATCGACACTGAAACTGTTAATATCGGTGTGTTATGTGCAGAGATGGAATATTCCACGACATTTTTGAATCGTGGAGAGAAACTGGGAAGAAATAAAAAAAACGGGATATGAAAAAATATTCAGCAATAAAAGAGTTAATATTACTTCAAGACTTCAAACACTTTAAAAAACTCTGATAGTTTTATTAAATTACTTTTGAATTGTAATAAAAGCAATTTAAATTTCTTACATTACATTTCCGTTGTTGCCTCAGAAACATACACAATGTAATTCCTACCTTAACGATAAAGTTAAGAGTAAACAGCATAGGGTAATAATACTCAAAAGCCTTCGCCATCTTGCTCAAATCCCCATTTTTACCTCTTAGTTTATTTCCTCCCATTTTATTTTCTGGATAACTGGAGTCCATTTCCCGGCAGAGAAGGAATGAGATTGGTATTTTTGTCTCAATGCCCACACCAGCACCGAGTCCCGTCCAGTCAATTAACCCATGGTACTAATGTCACATTCTCATGGGAGTAAAGAGACCGAAGGGTTGTGTTGAGGTTAAGAATTCGTAAACTTTAATACTGCCACTTCGCCATATGTTTTCTGGACGAAATTCTTAATGAAGCACATCGATAATTACATTTTTAAATCTTAGTATTCAGCCACCTGCTTCATTGACGCTAACTGGACGGGAATGAGTTACTGTATCGCTCTAGATTTGTAGATCTCTTTCCAATCATGGCCAGATTATCTACGTTCGATCTCAACATTATCTTCAAGCGAATCTTAGAAAAACCGAAGTCCTTCTCACTATTCATCATTTCCTCATCTAATTCGACGCTATGTGTTCTTTGTACTTGAAAAAGCGCCGTTAAACAACCTAAGAATCATTTAATTCGTTGGCAGTGTTCCTCCACCTTCTCTTTCCGGAGTGCTTTCTGAATCGCATCCGAGGCATCGTCAAGTAATCATAAACAGCCTACTTGTAAAGTAATTACTTTTTTACTGTAAACACACTGCTTTTATACGCGTTTGGATGTCAAGTAAAGCAGATAATGCACTGTTATGTTCCCTGCATTATTTTATGAACTTTTTCTATGTACCGTCATCACATATAAAAAGTATGACGAATGTAAACAGAGGGACGTTAGTCTTTGCTTACCTCGAAGTGGTCTGACCCCGGCTATCCGGGTTGGGACTAGGTCCCCTGGCAGTAAGTTGTGCGTCACTGTAAGACTTAAAGGTGACAAGACGCATCGCCCGATTTCCAACCCCTGCCGCTTCTGATGCAATGGATGACACTGAGAATAATGAAAGGTCCGTGGTGACAGATTCGTGAGACGGTGAACGTAACATGCGACATGCCACAGTCAGCACCGGGGTCTGGGGCGGGGCTTTTGGGTCACTACTGTCTGCCGATGTCATTTCAGTAAATGAAAAATATCAAGCAGTGGTCACTAACCGTCATGTAATATCACATATACGGTTCCATTAAGGAACACAACACTGTTTTTCGCAGGCTCTTCGATGCCTTCATGTGCTCATACAACCGAACTAAACTGCAACAAAATCGATACTGTAAAGACATCTATTGCTCTGGAGATGAGCGAACGGTGGCGTAGCTGCGGTCGGGTTTTGAACTATACACCCTAGTTATCATTCTCATACACTCTTCTTTTTCCCAGGTGGACTCTTCCCTTCGGGTTTCCTTACTAAAATTTTGTAAGAATGGCTCTTATTTTCAATTTGTGCCACATACCCCGCTCATTTAATCTTCCTTCATCTGATCACCATAACAGCATTTAAAGTAAAGATGTCACCGGTACTCGCCATAACGGCTCTCTGAGTTTGGGGGTGGAAGAGGTGTAGCTTGCACTGTTCCTTTACCTCAGCCTTCGATGGGAATGAATGACCAACTTCACGTCCCCCATAACAGTATTTGGTGCAGAATAATAATAATAATAATAATAATAAAAATTTTGACATGCTAAAAAGACATTAAAATCACACCGAATTACATGTTTTATTCCAAGATTTCTAGCACCACTGGCCCTATAAATGGTAGGCTTACTTAAAGGATAAATAATTAAAAACAAAATACCAATCACAGACCAAAATTAAAGCAGAGTAGGCTAACCAATTAGTGAATTGACTATCCGCCCACGTAAGCCGAAAGGACTCGTACATAAAGTCCAATCGTCGGGATGCTGGACACTTTCACCAAACCACCTCCCGCCCCAACGTTGGAGTTATTTTTGCAAGAGAGAAATATGAAATAACTAACTTGTAAATAAACCGTCTCAAGGTTTATGAATTGAAGAATTTGTAGCAAACTTCATGAAGTAACGGCAAAAAAATGGAGATGGGGTTATTTCTTTTTATTTAAACAGTAAAGAAAATGCCTGTTGTTTTAGACAACGTTTGTTCAAATCTGATAAAAGAAACTTGGATGACCTCAAAATAAAGAGGTTATCTTTCTATACAGATTTGAACACATACAAAAAATTATCAAATGCTAATAGCAGTTACGTTATTATTGTTGCACAAAATAAATGCTGCCTAGAGATGGAAAGTTGTTACTCTTGATGGTAACCGTGATAGGTAGCAGGTGGGAGTTCTGCCACGAAATTTCTTTAATCGAATCGGTCATTAGCAAAACCATATGATTCCACTACCTCAGCTATTGCTGCTTTTGCAATCACCAGGGCTTAATGCATCATTTCTCACAAGAATCACTTCAGTTCAAGCCTATATTGCGCGTGGGCAGTCCTATCCGTTTTCATCAAATGACATGAGTCCTGGACTCATGTTATTTTGGTTGAACGAACTTGGTTTATTCACTTTGTGCTTTGCCAAGATGGCTGATAGTGACTGTAGTTCTGTATGCTCTGCTGAGTTTAAGAGTAGACGGATGGGTGTTGTACATAAAGAGGAGTATAAGAGAGAGAACATAAGAAAAGCGAAAGTGAAGGGACTCCAACGTATAAACTATCAAGGCAGAAATGTACCTGCAATGCAGCAGGGAGATGACTGCAAGTAAGTGTAATCTTCGTTTTTGATTGATTTTCTAGGTTAACATTTATGGTAGCATCTTCTGTGAACAATGTGGAGAAATGTTTCAAATGATGAAATGGGTGTGTTCATAAAAATTCTCCATAGTAATGCAGATATGGATTAAGAATAAAGTATTTTTATTTCCTTACAGATGCAAGAAACAGTGTTTCAACAAAATTTCAGAAGCAGAAAGAATAGGAGTTTTCAATAAAGTATATTCGTTCAATAAGAAAAATGAACAAGATCTTTATCTTCAAAGTCTTATTGAGATACAAGATATAAAGAGGAAGCGACCTCGCAATGAGGACCCAAAGGAAAGAAGCAGTAATTTCACATATAATGTTTCTGTTTTTAACAGAAGGGTTGCTGTGTGTAAAAAAGCATATGTCAGTCTGCATGGAATTACTGAGAACCGGGTTCGACGACTGTGCAACTTGATTTTGAAAGGAGAGGCCCCAATAGACAAACGTGGGAAACATCCATGCCCACGAAGAATGTCTGCTGAAACCTGTCAGTTAGTAAGGGAACACATTGAATCTTTTCCCTTGAAGGAGGCTTGCTGTTCTAGTCATGTACATAAATACCTTGATGCAAGGCTGGATGTACGACAAATGCACGGACTATTTCAAGAAAAATACCCATCTGCAAATGTTTCATACAAATGCTACTTGAAATTTTTTAAAGAAAATTTCTCCTTGGCTTTTGGTAAACCTAAGACTGACATATGTTGTGTGGAGAAGCAACCAAGTCAAAAACTGAAAAGCCTTCACTTAAGTGATAAAGCAAAACAAGTTGCAGCTGCTGAACTAATGGTACACAGGAGAAGTAGGAACTTTTACACTGCTATGAAAAATGTGAAGAAAAAGTGCAGTAATAGTGATGACATTATAGGACTTACATTGGACTATGTGCAGGATATGCCCCTATCAGACATCCCAATACAGGAAATGTTTTATTATAGGCACTTACAGGTTTTCAATTTTTGTGTTCACAATTTAAAAACAGGAAAATCTGTATTCTATTCTTATCATGCAGGTGAAGGGATAAAGGACCCTGATACAGGTTGTTCTTTCTTGTTAGATTATATCTCTAATCATGTTCCAGAAAGAGTGAAAGAGTTGTACCTCTTCTCTGACAACTATTCTAGTCAGAATGGTAACCACACAGTTGTAAGATTTTTGGCTGCACTAACTGCATCAAAGAGGTTCCACAAAATTGTGCATTATTTTCCCTTGTGAAAGAGAAAAATGGCTAATCTGGTACTGTGATAGGATGTATGAACCTCATGATTACATAGTTGTAAGGTCAAGTATATCCTCTGGGAGTGTGTACCATCATCATTTGAGGAAATTTACAGTAAAATTTGATTAAATATTATAGTAAGTGCTGGTGGCCCCAGTATTATGAAAAAATTGCTCACAGGCTCTCAAGCAGAGGAATACCAAAATACCAGTTTTTCCCCTGCTGTTTAATGATTCCTACAGCCATATTGTAGTAGCTTCAACATTGACAGGCTGCAGAAACATTAATTTACTTTTGGAACTTCAAAGACACCTCCATTGCCAGTGTAGAAAGGATATGTTTAAAAAGTAACCGTTCCTTGTAAAGAATGTACAGGACATTGGGAAGGTCGTCACTCACATGAACATGAAGGTTTTTATAATAAACTTGAAGGTACATTGGATGACTAAATGTTCCTCACTGCTTCAAAGACAAAATATTGCATGGAGTTTTGGGGAGATGATGTATGACATTCAGAATATGCTGATTATTCACAAAATAAAACAATGAACTATTTTCATATGTATTTATTTACTGATCATTTTCATATTTAGCAACCTTATATGCAAAGGTGGTATAGTTAAGTGGTTAGGCAGGAAGAAGTGGAATGACTGACAAACAAAACAGAAGTCTCCCTTGGAGGGGGGGGCCCCTTCCTAAATTCACTTTGACCATAAAGAAACCCACAAGGACTTAAACTGGACACCCCAGCACTGCAATACTACACAACCATGAGTCATGCAATGTTCCTTCATGATGTGGAGGTTTAATAACAAGAGTCAAAAATTAGCACCACACTATATGCAACATGGTGAACCTTATGTACATACATACATATATATAAATCACACTTGCCAATTACTCTTGGGGACAAATAAATCCTCCATAAAATAAATGTTTTTTTAGTTTTCACAGAAGTGAATTTTGTGGGCTCGTGGTTTAACAAATTACCAATTCAATTGATTTAATGGCACAGTTTTCTTCCCCACATCAATTAAAAGTAGAGAAATCCAGAATAACCTAATACAGGGAAGGAGAAATAATTTAATAGAAAAATTATTCCGAGTTTTAAAATAGCCGTTTGCTGTGCTATATAGAAGTACATGTGTGTAGGAGGCTATGGATGAGTGAACAGTATTTTCTTTCTGTGTTCAGTTTCCACACAGCAGTATATTTATTTGTTTATATTTTATATAACAACACTTTTTCAGTAACTCAGACTATATAGCGCCGAACGAGGATGATAGTGCATTGGAAAGGATGTGTATAGGAGGCAGTCATGGAAAACTTTAAGGAACTATCCCAGCCATAGCAGCATATAACAATTAAATCCACACCTTTAACTGAATGTAGTGCAAACGGTAGTGCCACCATTTTAATGACAGAGACGACAAAATTATTACCACCACTTGCCATCACATAATGTACTGAGGATATGTAGCATGAAACATGATTCAAGAACAAATGACTATGAATGATCGATCACGAACAATTTAAGAGGAAGCTGACACGGTCTTCTTTCTAGTGTCCAAACATTTTTCTGAAAGACAAAGCACAGGTAGCTGTAGGCTAGGACTTGGACCAGGTATACCCCAAATGCAAGACAGCCATTTTGTTGCTGTCAACCTACTAGCATAATGAAGACAAAGTAAAAACTATATAACAATATCAACAGAATATTAATATGTTATTTTTTACTTACCTAAAAATATTACACAACATAAATTGAAACAAATGAGATTAACAGGTCATTTTTAACCAAGTACGGAATTGAAAGTAGCTGTTACTACAATCACTAAATGACCATAGTAGTAGCTCTACATCATCAAAATACAGCGTTTCATCCATATATTTCTCATCACATTCATTCCTCCAACTGATCCTAACTGAAATTATAATATACATCTGCCAACTTTGTACATGCTGCAATGATTGTGCTTAAATTACGTCAGAGCAACTAAACATGTTCTGGCTGCGAGAATGCTTTTGACATTCAAAAGATTTACAGTTCATTATGATTCACACAAAACAAGATGTCAGATCATGATAGTATCATTTTTCATATTAAACCAATCTGCAGATTGCTGCTCAATACCGTTCCTTTCTGAAACAAGTTGTGTTTGTTAAGATACTGGCATGAAACATTTACAGTCAATGCAGATATTTATTTAATGCACTTAAAACATTTTAAATGTTTGTCACTAGCACTAAATACTTGCTAAATTATCAGCAGAAAATTTTAATATAATTTCAGACAGAGAAATTATGGTTTCCCTGTGGCTCAAACATTCACACATTACAAACCAGTCTCTTAGTTCTTTTCTTCTTTCTTCTCTTGTTTTTCTTCACTTGTCTGGCCTGAGGAATCGCTGCTACTTCCGGAACTACTCTCTCGTTCTGCTGCCATCTACAGCAAAGAAACAAAGACCAATGACCCCATTTAATTTAAATCACTCGTGTCTAAGCACCACACTACGGAGGCACACACTGAGCAATCCAGCTTCTGACACAATTATGTATTATTTTACCTCAAAATTCAATGCAAAATCTGATGTAAACCACTACCTGGCGTTAATTAAAACCAACCTTGAATAAAGACGGTAATATAATTTTTGTATACCAGATGTATATAGCAGGAAATGAAGGAGAAATGTCTTCTGGAAGAGAAAACTGTGAACTTATTTATTTATAGTTTATTTAACAACACTTTTCAGTAGCTCAGGCTATATGATAGTGAGTAATGAATTGTAAAGGATGTGGAAGGAAGCAGTCATGGCTTAATCTAAGATACCATCCCAATATTAAACCACCTTTATAACATAGTATGTGACAGATTATAATAACCTTATAAAGAACTAGGCCAAATTATAAAATATGGGTTTCCTAAATTTCCCAATCTTAAGATTTACTGCACATCAATAATGCCACTGAAATTCACACATTGTAGCCATATTTATACATATGACAGCAGTGATGATATACTTTTCAACTTTCCACATAGCACACATCAGTGGAAATTAAAAAATAAAACAAAGACTGACAGTCAAGTGTGGAAGATGTTCTATAATAGAAAACTGGTATATGGCTCAGCAAATTTATTGTAGACGTAACGTTATAAACACAAATGCTGAATGCAAGTACACAGGAAGGAAAAAAGTTGGATGCATGTTCTAAAACTTTCACAGAACACTGAATTAATAAAATCTTGGGCTATCAGCCATGTGGCTTGATACAGCTGATGCTATTTTAAAAAGTGGGAATTTCGAAATGGTTTGTGAAAATGTCCAATTTAATGTGAAACCTTCAAGAATACCTTACATTTAAGCAGAGTATATCACAGTTCTGTTACCTTCTTGTATGCCATCTCAAACAACTTCAATGATGCCTGCTGTAATGCATCGGTCAACTTGCGAATTTCCTCAGGGCTAGTCTCATCCTTCTTGGACACAACCTCTCGTACCTGTGCTATTTGTTCTTGCAATTTATCACACTGCAAAAATAAAATTCAAACACATTTTCAATTAAAATCATGTTCATACCATATTTATTTCTATGCTGTCTCATCCCTAACTTATAAGTAAGATCTAAATAAATTGTTGCTACAAAACAAACTTTGTTAAATATACTATTGGTTGGTGATAGATAAATCATACCGAAAATCTACTCATAGTTTTTGTTTTAACAAAATCAGTTTTTGATAAGTACAAGTAATCAGTGATTAAAACCAACAATCTTTAACACTATCAACAAATCTAAGAACTGTGCCTATAAAAGCACTACACATGCCAATGTACATCCCTTCTATAAACAATGGAACCCTCTTTATAACATTTTCTGAATTTAATGTTTGCCTCACTGACTGAAATGGCATAGACAGAAGTTTGATTTTAGGGGTGCTAAATATTCAAGAGCGTTTGCTATAATTCAGGAGTAAGAATAGCAATATACAGATATAGGGGAATGTAAGTTATAATTTATGCTTTGTAAGCATACATGGAAAATCCAGAGAAAAGTATGTTACACTAAGTACACGAAACAACAATTCAATAAAAAGAATAATTAAATTTATTCACTTGCCTCTTCTTTGGGTAGCTGATCCTTAAATTCATTCATTTTTGACTCTGTATCATGAATGATACCTTCAGCCTGATTTACTGCCTCCACACGTTCCTTCTTCACCTTATCCTGAGCTGCATATGTTTCTGCCTTGCGTACCATGTTTTCAATTTCATCCTTACTCAAACCACCAGAAGACTGAATTACAACTAGAAAATAATACCATCAGAACCATATTAAACCTACATATCACAAAATCGAGGACAGTATTACCACACCCACTATACAGTCCTGATCTGTCACCGTCAGATTATCACCTGTTCGGTAAACTGAAAGACAGCATTCGTAGGAACAAGTTTGAGGACGATGACTCCCTTGTGGCATCTGTGAAAAAGTGGCTCAAAACTGCTGATCCTGAGTTTTACCATGCGGACATACGTGCCCTTGCTCCGAGGTGGCGTATGGCAGTCGAGAGGGTCAGAGACTATGTTGAAAAGTAGCATTTTGTTCCTAAAGGCTGTACCTATCCACTGCGTGTATAGCAAAGTTGTAAAATAAAAATTGAATTTTTTAAAAAAATATGGTGCATTACTTTTGGAGTGTCAGCAGGTTAATGCATGCATAGAACTATATCATCCTAACCACTGCTGGTCCAATCCCTTGCCTCATAAATAGTATTTATGTACATTTCACTCACTTTAAAAAACTCTATGCATACTTACTTTGCTGTTCTTTGCCTGTTCCCTTGTCCCGAGCAGAAACATGAACAATTCCATTAGCATCAATGTCAAATGTCACCTCAATCTGGGGAACACCCCGTGGTGCAGGAGGGATTCCTACCAATGTAAACTGTCCTAAAAGTTTATTGTCACTAGCCATTTCACGTTCACCTTGGTGTACTCTGATTTCAACCTGTGTCTGTCCATCTGCAGCTGTAGAGAACACCTAAAAAAATACATACGTTTCATCATACAGCTTTATTAATATATTAAAACAAGGAAAAGTACAGCTCGCATGTTACTATAAGAACATTAAAGCGCTAAAGGTGTAAGAGACTGTATGGAGCGAGATGCCAAAAACATTACCTGTTTCTGAATATATAAAAAACTTGGTCTCGTATCTTAAGGGAAAAACACAGATGAAGACTTGAGAACAAATCACTAAGGAAAAAATATATACCTTAAACAGACTAACAAGATGAGAAACACAGAATAATGAGTTTCTTAATCAAACCAAGAATGTCATGTCCTGCTGTAGCTGTCAAACAATCTACCAGTAAATACATGTGTACCATGTAACAGAAAACTACCTTCTGAGCTTCAGACAGTAGCCTACCTCAAATACTCAATCAACTTACAGGCAGGGAAAGGGTTAAATATAAATAAGGAGTAAAATCACACTGGTACATACTTGACTTTTCTTTGTGGGAATCGTGGTGTTCCTTGTGATGAGTCTTGTAAACACACCCCCAAGAGTTTCAATACCCAGGGAGAGTGGGGTAACATCTAGTAATAGCACATCAGTGACATCACCTGCCAAAACACCACCCTGAATTGCTGCCCCAACAGCCACGGCCTCATCAGGATTTACTGATCGACTTGGCTGACGGCCAAAGATTTCTTGGACAGTAGACTGTACCTATAACATCACACAATACTTCAGTATCCTTACAATTCACTCAACATCTTTTATCTGCAGTTTATTTAATGATGCTTTTTCAGTAGCTCAGACTGTAGAGTATTCATGTATATCCAATATCTGTTACTATAAAATATTTTTCTAGAATAGCATATGGTATTTGGTAGAGGATGAACAAAATTTTTATTACACTGGCATCTGTTTTACCATATAGGCTGGGGCCACACAACCGTTCAAAGTATGTCCGTTGTAACGCACATCGTGACGTCCATCACAGAATTATTAAGGAGCATATAGGGTACAACACACGAAGCACACGCGTGACACACCCTATATGCCCCTTCATAATTCTATCACGTACGTACTTTGTACGGTCGTATGACCCCAGCCTTAAAGGGAATAGCTTCTAACATGGATGTTGAAGCTGTTCCAACAAGGTTCTAGAGTAAAAAAGTAAAGTAAAGTTTGTCCCACTATACGCCATGTAGGCGTTTGGGGTGAGAGGAGGTATAGCTCCTCTCTTCCTTGATCTTGGCACTAGATGGGGTGAGTGGTCAGCATCACGCCCCGGCCGGCTTTATCCCCGGGAAAGGACCCCGGTACCCATTGTAGAGGAGGCTGGGTGGGCCCCAGAGCCGGTCTGGACGCAGAGGCTAGAGGAAAAATCCTCTGCCCCCGTCGGGGATCGAACCCCGGTCGTCCAACAATAAATTAATATAATGATAATTTAAGAGCACATCAGTCTACTCTTCCTGACTTATCTCTGAAAGTGATCAACCAATGCTGTGTTCTGAACAACAGAAACAGAATGAACCAACAACATGCTCAGCACATTTTGTCAACATAAAAAATTTAGATGACGAAAAATAAAACATCAGTGCATGTTGGATCCAGTTAGATCACTGCTATACTGACAACAAACATTTCAAAGTTACATGTACTGTAGACACTAGACAGAAATTCCACCTGCACAGTCAAACCCTATTACAGTTTCTTCTAGTAAAAAATAAATTGCAGTGTTGGAAAGACTGCAGACCATAAGGAACATAACTATGGTTTATTTCACAATATTAGACTTACTTTGGGCATCCTGGTCATGCCTCCAACCAATAGGACATCCCCAATATCAGACTTGCTAACTTCAGCATCTGAAAGTGCTTTTTGACATGGTGATATTGTCTTTTTAATCAGTTCACCAACCAAGCTTTCAAACTTGGAGCGAGTAAGCTGTAAATGAATATGACATACCAAATTAAGCAGATTTCAGCATTTCTACATCACATAGTTGTCATATACGGATACCTACGAGGTGGCATTATAAATGTATGTATCAATGAAATAACAGAAACATGTTAATACAGTCTCATTTCCTTAATTACACATTGCAGACCAATGGCTTTGGGACTGTATCCCCACTGGCAAATGCAAGAATAACCTAAATTTAATCACTGGCCAGTTCTTTTGGTAAATACCACTTTAGTCATATAACACTTACAGTTCTAATGGCAGTGAAGATGTCAATGTTGATTTCCAGAGTTGATAGGGATATAAAAATTTCAAAAGAACATAATGCCTCCATCTTAAGGGCTGAAGACAGAGGCAATATATTCCCACAATATGTTACTGACTTACAAGTCCAGAAGGGGTCACAACCCAAAAGTCCACTATAGATACTTTGCCATGATCATCCACGTGTGTCCAACCATGGTTAAACATAAATATATTATTATTGCAAAGTTCGCCAAAAACAAAATTTTAAGAAAAATATGTATGTTACATGGAAAGCTGCATAATTACATCATCCATACACTGGTACGCATCGTTTGCACTCAAAATTTGAACAAATTTCTCAAAAATAAACTAATTACACCCAAAAATGAATATAAAACATCACATTATTCAGATATCACTTTCTAAATCCTAAATTGTTTTTTATAAGTGAAAACCACATGTTATCAATGTAAAATTTCACAAAAATCTGCCAAAATATCACTGCTGATGTCAAACTTAAAAACAAAGACACAGAAGACCCCCACACAAAGGCCAAGGATTACCATGGTAAGATTATGTTTCTGAATTGTAATATGGAGTCAAAAGCATACCAACAGATTTTATTATTCGACCATTAAAACAACGATCAGATATGTGAGTATGGTAGCGTAAGTCCCAAAATGATTATTCCTTGCTTTACCTCTCTGCTTATATAGCCCTTGGTGGTCTAGGGGTATGCCAATGGATTCCAGTAACAAAAATGGGGTCTCAGATCAGATAGATCCAATGTAGATTTTCCCACGACATGTGAGTGCTCTAGCTCAAAAATGTATGAAAAGGAGGAGAAAAAGTGTGTGTATTTAAAAAACATGCAACTTTGTAATTATTTTCACCTTAAGATACATATTAAAGAAACTTACTTTGAGATTCATATGTTTTGGTCCAGATGAATCCATTGTAAGATAGGGTAAATTGATGTCAGTCTGAAGCGAAGAAGAAAGTTCGATTTTTGCCTTCTCAGCGGCTTCCTTCAATCGCTGCATAGCCATCGGATCCTTGGCTACATCAATACCTTGCTGTAATGTGCAAGTTCAAGCCTCAAAAATTATGAACATATACTCACACCAGAAACATCTTCCATAAAATAATGTATTTCACTGCTTGAATCTTTAAAGAAATGGCAAACAGGCAGACAGTTGTAATAAACTAAATGTTATATATTGGTCTGTTTTATTGATTTCAGCTTCTTTGGGACCACATCAATTGGAAAAACATTTTTAAAATAAAAAATTGTACTTACTTCCTTCTTAAATTCTGATGCAAGGAAGTTAACCAAAGTATTATCAAAGTCTTCACCGCCCAAGAATGTATCTCCGTTTGTTGATTTTACCTCAAATACACCCTTCTGAATTTCCAAGACTGAAATATCAAATGTGCCGCCACCAAGATCATAAACAGCGATACTGTAATTAACAAAAATATATCTACATTAAAATATATCCTCCTTTCAGCGATCCTTCTCATATCACAGAGGCCAGCCCCACAATTATCTGCCAGAAACCCTTACATTAAAGAGCAATGGTTTTTAGGCATTAATAATACTAATAAATGCATCAAACAAGCACATGCAGCTTCTATGCCAAACTTATCTGTCAATATTTCTTTCACAATATGGACTTACACTTTATCTTCTGTTTTATCCATGCCATAGGCTAAAGCTGCAGCAGTAGGTTCATTAATCACACGCAAAACATTAAGTCCTGCAATCTGACCTGCATCTTTTGTAGCCTAGAAAGAAAGAAAGAAATAAAAATGGAAATGGCACAGAATCACAGTGTCATGCACAGGTCCTAAAAATATATATACCTGTCTCTGGGAGTCATTGAAGTATGCTGGAACAGTAACTACAGCATTTTTTATAGCAGTACCCAAGTATGCTTCAGCAGTTTCTTTCATCTTCATCAGTACAAAAGCACCAATCTGACTAGGTGAATACATCTTCTTATCTGTGCCTTCTACCCATGCATCTCCATTTGAAGCTTGAACTATCTTGTATGACAGAGTTTTCCTGCAATAAACAATAAAAACATTCAGATTTTTATGACACTGTGTGAACAAGGTTTCAGAAGAAGGCAGGCATCTTAATACTCACTGCTGTGAGAACCTCAAATCCTACTTACATGTCTTTTTTTACTTCTGAATCGTTAAATCTCCTTCCTATCAATCGTTTGGTTGCGTAGAATGTGTTGGCAGAATTTGTAACTGCCTGCCGTTTTGCTGGCATTCCAACAAGTCTCTCTCCATCTAAAACAAAATGTCATACAAAAATTATTTGGAGGTAAAACCTACACATAATAAGACAGCGGATTTCAGAAAGGCAATGTGAACATACTTTTCATCACAAAAGGAACAAACACTTTTCATACATACAAAATGTTGTAATATTTATAATGAATCTACAGTTATAAATTCTTTAGCAACAAATTAAATAAATACCCCAAACAAAAACACACACCTTTTGTAAATGCGACTACGGATGGTGTTGTCCTTGACCCTTCAGCATTTTCTATTACTTTCGCCTGTTTTCCCTCCATCACAGCTACACAGGAATTTGTTGTACCAAGATCAATTCCAATAACAGCCCCCTTGACGCCTTCAGACCTATTCAATAGAGCACAAATAACATTTTTAAAAAATATGAATATAGTACTGAAGTATCTATTTTTAAGACCTCCACTCCCAACAATCAAACATTTGTCTCCCTTCAACACAGTCACCACAAGGCATTATGAAACCTGGCAATGAAAGACGTTCATACTGCAAATACTAAATTTACATGATTATAATACTGTTCAGAATTCAGTATCATTATTCCTTGTTTGTTGAGATGGGTAGAATTGAAGATGTCTCTTGCAGACTATTTTTTATGAAATGTACTACCCTTTCCAGCAAATTTCTCCTTTAGTGCTGTCATTCACCATGTAAAACAGTCAAACAAATTCAGACATACACAACACAAACATAACCTCCAGACAATAAATGTCAACCTCACTAAATATCGAAAAGGAGTGTGCTATCCAGAAACAAACAGATTATCTCATCTACATGTATAAGAAGAAGAAGAATAAATTGTGAACTATAAGTGTATGAATGTGACTGACACAAATCAACACAACACACCAGGTTACTACAGTACGGAATAGTACAGATGACACACAAACATGGTAAAATGAGGGAAAGACACATGACAGCCCCCTATGCATCCATCATGATGAAGACTGACCTACCTTAATGGGCATGGCCCCTAAGTAATTACAATTTCCCTGTTCTAGAGATAATTTATAACTAAAATACTTACTTGTGCCTTCTTTGTACGTCATTATGCTGGCCCACACAAGTTGAAGATGCAGTCTAAAAACAATAAGCAAAATCTCGCATAAAATTTTTACAGGACAAACTTCACATAATTTACTACCAACATCAATTTTAATATAGCTTATGAAAATAAAACATATTAACAACTAAATTTCTTTGTCTACAAACTGATAATTTAAACTGGAAAAAGCACAATGAATATATTATCCTCAAAATTAAGTTCAGCATGCTTTACCACGAAAAGTCACACCAGTTAAAGTCAATACTTGAGTCATCATTTCTAACTTGTTCAAAAAATAAGCTCTCTCATTTGCAAATTTACATTATACTAGAGCAGAGCACTCCTTTCGGAGCTTCTCGGGGGGTTGGTGAAGTTTTTAAAACGCAACCAGCCCCCTCTTCGAGTGGGTTAGTTAAGTTTTAAAATCTTGTGTAAGAAACTAAACCAACCCCCCCGATGGGGGGTTAAAACACTTCCACCCCCCTTTATAAATAAAAAAGATTAAATAATGCTATTTTTGTTTGTGAGACTTTTTCATTCATGTAGCATTGTATTTTCTTCGTAATTCAATTTTCTGGTAAATTGAGTTGTTATTCGCAGCCGTCCATATCATCATCCCACATTTTCGATTATCCGACCGTCCTTAACGCCGTTTAGGTCGGATAATCGAAATAACTGAATGTTATTTCTCATCGTAAGACAGAATGTGAAATAACCTTACACGTTCTACAATCCAACCTTTACCTACAAGACCCTCTAAATACCCTCATACTAGTACACAAAAAAACTAAAATGTTAAAAAATTATTATAGTGTCCATCAATGTTCACCTAATCTGAATTTGGAAAACAAGACTTTTATTTCAAACACACGGGTTGGCAAAACAAAATAAGGCTTTATAACTTGCTACATAAATATACAAACGCGTTTTTTCCCCCAGATATTCATCTCATATTCAGGAACCATTTGGCTTTGAAACAAGCACGAGCCGGTTCCCACACTTCGAAAACAAATGGGCCTATATTTGATACTAGATAATGTATTTTGCTGCGTGTATCACAAAAACTAAATGTCTTCGTATTCACAAACAATTAATACAAAACAAATCCGTCACTATTAACAACACTATCGACTCCATACAACCACGAAAAAGACAATATAACTCACCTTTTTCAATAACGTGCTAAATTCTTGTTTACCAACTACATTAAATGTAAAACTTGTGCAGTCGAATGCCTTTTTGCCGATAATTCTACCAGCCAACAACATTTTTAGTTTCGAAGAATATATCGTTTATATATATATATATCACTACGAATGTACTAGAACCTTCACGTGCAGCAAGCTGATGCAATTCCAAGGGCAGGCAATGAATGTCTACCTAATCACAGTTTATACAACTCGTCCACCAAACAGGAACACCAACCTAACCTACGTGTCTACCCTCACATTCCACCACGGATCTAAAATGAACACATACTACATGTAATTCCTACTGCGCACATCCATTGCACGGTTACAAACTACACTTAAACCAATAGAATTTATCAATTTATTGAAACGTTAGTACGTTTTAACATACACATTTTCATAAACATTATGTATTAAAGAATTTATTTTTCTGATTGTGAAGCTAAATGCATAGTTTTTTTTAATTTTTGCCCTATTAAGCAACATTGCTTCAGGCAGTTTGTGCTCTTCTCACACACAGGAAATATTTCTACCTGAAGAATTGTGAAATTGAGATGCAATTACTGTTGCCGACTGTTGTAGCAATGGAATACATTCGAATACTACACTACAAAAGAAAAAAATAACTATAAAAACTTATCTCAGCTTTGGGTATGCGTTTGTCCAACTTTTTCAACAGTAGGCGCATGCATCGATCCTTGGGGAGGGAGAAATTGTGAAAGCTCACACCCTCGCCCACATCGAGGGATCGCGGGGTCCCACTACTGCCCTGGAAGGCGTCAGCAGTCCTGGGCACCAGTGTCAGGATCTCTCCCTTCCTCTGGGCCACAAGCTTGCCGGCCGACTTGGCGTGAATCCAGTCCAGCAATATACGTGTTTTTCACCCCAGAGACGTACACAGGGGTTCTGGGGGGCCTTGT